CATATTTTCTGCTTTTTTTCCTTGAACTATTCCCTTTAAATCCAGTCAATAAATTATTCATAAGCTGTCAAAATATGGTGAAAAATTTAATTTGAGAAAATTGGGCAACATCTGGGTCTAATATTCAGGTGAAAAATCTGAATTTTGTCGATTGGATTATTTCTAATAAAGGCCAATAAAACTCGGGAACAGGCTGTTCAGTGAAAATTGATATGAAACTAGCTTTGTGGACTCTCTGAAAGTGACAAGGCTCGTGTATGTTGATTGTTATTGGCTTTGTGGACACTCTGAACAGGATTCTGGGTCCCTTAACAATATTTATCTGTCTTGTATCACAGAAGTTTATAAATGCAGTGATTTGATTGGATTGTACGTTGGCAAATAAAGCCAATCAGAGATCTCAACAGAAAGTCTGTACACACTAAGCCATAACATTTACAGCTTTTCTGTTGTGGATTGACTGCATTCGCTAACACATAATCCAATCAAATCACTGCAGTTACAAACTTCCATGATACAAGAAAGGTGGCTATTGCAGTGAAGGTATGAGATTGTAATAGCTTGACATTGCGAAGTTGTCTTCTATGAGGTCCTATGCTAAGTTAGAAAATACTGAAATATGTGTGGAATTGCTGCCATCAACAAGAACTATTAAACAACTCTTATTCTCAAATCCAACCTTTATTTTAATGATTTTTTATTTTGTTTTTTATGAAAATAAATTAGCTTGATAACAAAATAACTATGAAGTATTATTCTGTTATTCTTGTAACAAGAAACTTTCAAAAAGCCAGGAAATGTCCCGGAAGATAGAAATATTATCCAGTCCTTTTTTGACAACAGGAAACATTATCCAGTTATTATTCCACGTAAATGAACAAACAAAAACCCTCGTTAATGATCGTACAGATATATTCATTAATGCCGAGCTTACTTTAACAAAAGTCTCGATCATTGAGTCTATTGATTTTGTAGTCATCAAAGAATGGAAATGAGTCTTATTGATTGAGTCTACTAAACAGGAAGTAACATGATGTTAGACAGGAAGTCAAAGCGGACATTACTTGGTTGTCAAGGATATGAGATCATGCTAGGAATAAGAGAGTTTAATGTAACTATTCAAATTGAGACAATTTGTCAAAAAATGTAAAACCGTTGTCAAGGAGTGTCAGGTTTCTTTGTGAATTTCTTGTCGAACATTATCAGGAATAAATTGGTGCTAATGGTTTCCATAAAGTTATGGCGCCATTTTCTTAGACCTTAGGGTGGATGCTTAGGAAATGAATCAATTTAGGGGTAGAAGGAAGGGCAGGAATGTGTGTGCCCCTGAGTTCTTCGTTTCTGATTTATTGCTGCTTTAAACAAGGGCAATAACTCACTTATTGTGAAAACAACTCTTTGTAAGTCAAGGGCAATAACTCAACAAGTAATTTATGGCCATAGTAACATAAGAATGAATCATCTATGCCACCATTGTCTTAACTCCTTAACTATGCTTAGTTCTCCAACAGTTAAAGTAGTGGCCATTTTACTTATTAAGTTGCTGAAAATAAATTGACAACCCAACCTTAAATTAAACAGTTTACATCAAGCCTGACAGACTTATTGACACCTTCTCCCTACCATTGAAGTTATCCCCCTTACATTTGAACCCTGTCACTCTAAAAGCACCGACAAGTCTACTTAGTAACTGTCTAACTAAATGGATGCGTCCCCTTGAGAATCTAAATCAACGAATGAAGCGAGGATTTTAAAACACTCGAGAGTCAGCATTCTAAATTATATCCATTAACGACATTAACATAAGTTGACAATGAAAGAGGTATTTTTTTATGATACACGTTAAATCATCTCTATAAAAACAGATCAGACGCGATTTTAATTCAACGGCATTAGCGAATAATTAACAAACAATTCAAACCAGATTTCGATATTTAGATGCGTCTGTTATTTATTTCAATAGGGATTATTTTTCATTAATGTGAACATTAAAAAGATTTTTTGGTTTATGGTAAAAAGATAATAAAAATACCGAATAAATATTGAAAGCTTTGTGGACTCTCTTAAAGGGATGCTGAGATAAACCTAAATATAAAAATACATTTTAAGCTATGTGGACTCTCTGAAAAGGATGCTGAGTTGATAAGCCTAAATATAAAAATACATTTTAAGCTATGTGAACTCTCTGAAAAGGATGCTGAGTAGACAAACTTAATTTGAATGTAAATACTCTAAGCTATGTGGACACTCTTAAGGGTTACTGAGTTAACAAATTATAAAGAGAAATTAATTGCTATCTTGGATTCTGTGAAAGCGGCGCCTAGTTGCCTTAAATAACAAGAATACAATATTGGCTATGTGGACTCTCTGAAGGAGAATTGGTATTCGGAAGCCTTAATTCATTGCTAAACTTTGTTTAAACAACTTTGTGTTAATATTTTCAGAATTTTTTTCTTAATTAGATTTCCGAAACAAGTCAGGGCCTATGATAATCTGTTGTAAGCTTTGGAACTCTACATTATCTAACTTTAATGTTATAATCATGTACAGGCATACTTCAATCTTTGAGAACAATACCCATTGCTACAGGACAAATACTGGCATGGTTCCTGAAAGTTCTTCAATTCTTGTAGAACCAGAATAGGAAATTGGATTACGATTCCAAGAAATGTTAAGAGCATCTTCACATTATTTGAAGGCCATATTGTCAGCGAATTTCCAACCTCGAGTGCTTCGTTGCCATAAAAATTAGCTTTGTGCTTTCCCTTTGAATTTTTCAATATGTCTTTCTGCTGAATTAAGTTACAGAGTTTGCAATTTTCATTGAACAAGGGCAATAACTCAATAATCGATAACACAATTTTTTGTTCAACACGGACAATAACTCAATTATGACCAAAGTAATATAAGAATGGAAAAAATTCTATAGTTTTTAATGTCATATTGCTAATGTAAAAAGTTTGAAGTTATCATAGGACAAGGGCAATAACTCCCTAACACAATAAGTTTCATTAATCATGGGCAATAACTCTTTGTTTCTAAAACTTTTAGTTGAACTAGGGAAGTTATTATTACAGGAGCCTTCTGCTTTGTCTATTTTTTCTCCCCTAATCAGTTTGACCTCCTGCCTTTACTATTCCCCTACCCCCATTTGATAATGTTAACATCTGCCCCTACTGCCTCATCACCCCCTGCCCCTTCTGATGATGTATACAGCTGATCCAACTCCTCACCCTCCCTCTCACTGCACCCCTTCATCACAACCACCCCTGTCCGCCCCCCTCCTGCCCCTGTCTTGATTCAAGTAAAATGTCATTGACAGGAAAGAGATATGATATAGATTATAGCTATATTATTTGAAATGTCATCTATACATATTAAAATAGTTCTGGACTATTACCTTCGTATCTGATTGTTTTGAATGTCACTATGATGTTGTTATAAAATATACGAAATATCTCTTGGCAACATCTATTTCTGTGGTTATTCTTTTATTCATTTATTTTATTCATTTATTTTATTCATTTATTTTATTCATTTATTTTATTCATTTATTTTATTCATTTATTTTATTCATTTATTTCGGCAGTTTTTTGTTTATTCATTCATTTATTCAATTATTCATATGGTTTTTCTTTAGCTTTGTTACAAAATCTCTTCAAATTCATTTATGATGCAGGTGTAAAAAGTATCTAGTCGATCAGATGGGACAATAAACTGAGGCCTCATGAGCTACAGGCTGTGCACATTAAAGATTCCATTGAGAAGAAAAGAGTAGGCTAAAACTACTGTCCTGGTAAAATTTTCCTCATTGCACACAGCATCATGTAGCAAGTGTTCTATGAGATAGGGAAAAGTAGGACTTAAAAATCTATGCATTTCATTCATTCATTCATTCATTCATTCATTCATCAATCCATTCATCTACTCATTCATTCATTCATTTTAAATTGTAAAATATTTTGGGAGTATAACAGATGATAACCAATAAATATATTATTATCAGAGGGAGGAAGTAAACTAGATCTGGGTTTTAACTAGTTCAAGTACTATTTCCGTTTATGTTTAATTGTCAGATGATCTTTGGAAACCCCTGTCAACTCAAATTATATATGGTATTTAGATAGAATGAAATGTGGCTTTACATCCTACTTTTCTGCATCTGATAGGATTAATAAAGTGTGCAATGAGAGAAATTTTGCCTGAAACTAACTATGCCTTGTTCGATGCTTCATTTTGGGAGGCTTTATCAAAGGAAATCCATATTCTGTACCATATTAGGCTAATGAAGATGGGCAATGCCATGCAGTGTGCAATGAGGGAAATTTTGCAAGGACATTCACATGAACGGCCTGCAGAACACGGGGGCCTCATCCAACATTATACACACATTGAAGCATATTCGAAACAAATAGTAAAACAGATTTAACAAACATGGAAGCATTTAATGCATAATTAAAAAAAATACGTAATTTGTCAAATTAATAAAAAGTATAAAACTAAAACAAAAATGGCATCAAAAATAAATAAATAAATCAAAATTAAATTTGTGAATAAATTAACTATAGAACTGCTCATGAATATTAATGAAACAGATTGTGTCGTTAATTAATATTTTAATTAACCACCTGTCACAAGGTTCGTTACTAAACTGAAAGATTTAACGAGATAGTTCCTAATTAAACACTCTTCTTTTATAATTAAAGTTGATGGAACATTGATACATGCAAGAATTAAATGAAACATGTTGATTTTACAATGTTCAAGGTCAAATAGTTTTCAAATTTCATACATTTTCTTCATTTCCTTGGTGTTTCCATTGACTTCATGCAGATGCAGAATTAACATGAAAACATGCTGGTTTTACAATGTTCTACGTAAGAGAAGACATTAAATTCCATACATATTTTTCCCATAAATTTAAAAATATTTTTAATGATTATTGCGCAAGAATCAGCAACTTTTCTTCATCTAATTTCTTCCATTTTTATTCATTTCAGATCCTGAGAAAATTCCGTCCCTGTTATTTATGGTGAAAGCGTTCGAGACGCCGGCATACGTGTCCGGATTTATTGCCCTTGTTTTATACTTAGTGAAAATATTATGTCTAATAAGATGTCCTGATCGAAAGAGACTACATCTTAAAGCCGCTTATTTAACATTCAGTGCCATTGCAGGTGAGACAAAATTATTATTAGTTATGTGGACTCTCTTAATGTGATCCTATTCTAAGGTGGCTCAGTGAGTCAAGCCCTTGAAGGTCCAGGGTTCATTCCCAGCACAGGTTGAGATAATACCTTCGGATTTTTAAACCCAGCTTCCCCCTGTCAGTGGTGTAGGTAAGAGGGGCTGACATTAAAAAAGCGTCTAGTCGCTCGGATGGGACAATAAACCGAGGCCCTGTGTGCTACAGGCTGTGCACGTTACAGATCCCTTGACAGTTGGAAATCGAAAGAGTATGCTAATGCTGCTGTAGTGGCAAAATTTCCCTCATTTCACACTGCATTGTGTGTGCAACAGGTTGTCCAAGTCCCTTCTGAAGATCCTTTGACAGTTGGGAATCAAAAAAGAGTCATACTTGCAAAGATTCCCTTACTGCACTCTGCATGGAGTTGCCAGTTATCATTAACCCAGTCAGATGCTGTAAAGTGTGATGTAAACCTCCATTTCATTTCATTTTCTCTAATATTTGATATTCTGTTTTCTATTTGCAGGAGCAGCTGCAGGAATAGGAGTCATCATATTCTGTGTCATGTTGGAAAAACAGAAATTCACCCTAGGGTGGGCACCGGCCTTAGTGGGGGTGGGGGGATTTCTACATCTGAGTATGGCGTGTGCGGGGTATCTCAGTTGGCGAAATGGACCAATAGACGATGATTTTTTCGATGAAGATGATGAAGCATTTTTAGAAAAGAGTCCTGAAATTAAAAAAACGAATGGACCAGGCCGTCCAAATCGTCCTGCGCCCCCTCCCCCACCCCCTCCGAAACCCAAACCACAAATCAAACCCAAACCAGACGCACTTTTGCTCCGTAGCATGTCATCACCAGCGCCAAAAACCAACGAATACAACGCTGTGTGAAAGTTCGGTGTTTTATGTGTTCGTATTTCAGTTGATCTGATTATAAAGTATTATTTTTGCTAAAATGTGATTCAGTGACCTTTGACCTTTAAGTGAAAAATTGAAGATGGTTTGTGTTGACCTAAAAACTGGCTGGTTAGCTCTACTTAAGGCCATTTGATGAGGGAAAAGGTGAACCCAGCTTATGTTTTGACTGAGAAGATGCAATCGGAAAGCTTGTTGCTCCAGAATATAGAATGAAAACCCAAAACTGGGTATGTTCAGTGGGAAATAAAGCCAAATATGAATATGCATTCACCACTTATTCAAGGCTGTTGAGAAAAAAGCAAAATATGAACAAGAGCCTTAAGTTAGTTTGATGTAGGCTACTAGCTGACGACTATGAGATATATTGCTAAAGCAAGTCCCATATACACTGTGCTTAAAAAACATACATGTTGTGTTTGCTTAAAGACAAATTGAAATCTTTTCAGAGCAGCTGTAAAGACTGGAGGAAGGGAGGTAACCACAATTTAAAATTAAAGACCACAATAAGGTCTTCCATACTATCTTGCTCAAAGAGTGAAAAATTAGTTTGCTAAAGCTCTAAAAATGGAATTTAATCTGGAAATTATGAGCACTGAGACCAAGTTGAACCTTTTGGATATTATGCTAAGGGAGACAACCACATTGTAAAGTTAAGACCACAAAGTAGGCTATTCATCATTTTGGTCTATCAGTGGCTTAAGGACAAAATTGAGACCAATTTTCCCTAAACTATAGTGTTTTGATAATTGATGAGTTATCCCTCTTGAATGTTGTTGTTAAGGTCTTTTTTGGCGACCATTTTTTCTGTTGCTAAGGAAGTTATGAATGCTTGTTACATTTGTATATTTGAATTATTATATTGCATGTTTTGTTGATGGCTATATTTGTAAAATTTTTTTATATTTGCCTTTGTATATATTGCCCTTTTTAGGGCTACATAATTGCCCATACAACCTTTTAATATGGGTCCTTTTCATTTTGTATATTTGTCCATTATGGGGCTACATTTTTCAACTGGGCCTAGTTTTTTCGTATACATGTATGCCCATTTCATTTTAGTAAGATAGCCCATTTTTAAGCCTGATTTGTAAAATTGTCGATTGGGATGAGTGTTATTTTATATGCATTTCATTGGCTGGCAAAAAAGCCATGGAATTAAGTCTCCCATCATGCTTGGAGCTACTCACAGCTCTAGTTGTATTCATTTCATTGTCAAAGTGTAGGCATTGTCATTCAATGACCCAAGATTTTTACGCAATGTTTATATTTGAGCTACTCATTGGAAATATGATTTGAAGGGATACAGTCATTGAAATATTTCCTTTACACCATTGCCCACTGCAAAAAAAGGATTTGTACTCTATTTATCTTTAAGAATTTTAAAAAGTTATATGTGAATTGTCATCTTCACAATGTCCAGTTATTATGAAATGCATCTTACACCTTGACTGCAATAGCCACCTTTCTTGTATCACGCTGTAAATGCAGCGATTTGGTTAGATTGTAAGTAAGTGAATTGCAGTCAAGGTATAAGATGCAGTTCGCAATAACATGACATTGTGAAGATAGTGTCTTGTATACAATAGAAAACTTATTTCAATTTTGTTAAGTTTATATTCATTTTGCTTTTACAAAAAAACAAAACAATGATTATATAAAAACAATGATTATATAAAAACAATGATTATATAAAAACAATCATTATATAAAAACAATTATTATATAAAAACAAGAATTTGTGAATGAAATTTATATGTATGTAAAACAACAAAAAATATAAAACTGAAATGCCTTTTCATTATGTTTCCAAATCTACTTTCCATTTTGTAGTCTAAGGTTGGATCAGAATAACATAACTTTGATTGGTTGAGATTAACCTAGAGGTTTATTATAAGCCAATCAATAAACTCGAATTTTAAACTGGTTCCAGTTCGATCATAATTCAACTAATATGATTGATTCAAATTTTTAAACTGAGTATTATTTAACAAATTATATTCACAAAATTCTAAACTGGTTCCAGTTTCAGACAATCATGTCAAAGAGTTTAAATTTCAAATGAAACTCAAAGTTATTTTAGCCAATCACTTTACACAAACCATAAACTGGTTAGGTCACAAAATAAACAGAATAAACCAAATATTTAAAGGTCACTAAATAACCGACAGTACATAGCCCAAGGCAAATGCCTTGTAGTAGGCCACAAATAACTATTTATGACTAGCTGGTGACCAAAACAAAATTATGACTAACAAAACAATATACTTCAGGTAATAAATATCTTACCCTCACTTTTCTTGTTTCCTGCAATAAATAACTTAGGAATGTGGACTTAATTCAGTTGAAAGCTTAAAACCCTCTCAAAAAGATGCACAGTTGATAAACTCAATGACAAAAAAACATATTTAGCTATGTGGACTCTCTTAAAGGCACAAGTTATTTGGATTAGTACAAAAACATCCAGTGGACAAATATATAATACCTAACATATTTAGCTATGTGGACTCTCTGAAAACTGATCCTGAGTTGACAAACCCACCAATAAGTGGTACTGGGCACTTTGGAAAGGTAGCAACAAATAGAACACAATCAAAATCTCAGTGGTTGCCAAGGAAGTAGCGCAATTGATGTTAAAATGAGGCAATGGGCTTCTTGGAAGATTCAAAATACATGTAAATAATTAACAAAAAAAAAAGACCCACTGTTTGGGAGGCATTTGCCTTGATGGCTACATGTTCCTTAAGCACCCTTTATAATCCATATTCTGCTGATAATATCATCAACGTTGCTAAAGAAACATGATGGCCACAGAACAGGGGCAGATACCATGGAGACATCTAGCTTCTATTAACTTCACTAAGGACTGGCTTTTGATCAAACACGATTAGAGAATCTTGAATCTGCTTTATAACTTTGACACGACTCGTTTCCTTAAGGTGCACGAGCTGATAATGCCTTTTCAACCCGGCTTTGAATGTAAATGATTTATCACATCTGTCACAATGTATGGACCGAGGAAAATGAATTTTCGTGTGACCAGTCAACATATCTTTGGTAATGAAACGTTTTTGGCAAACGATGCAACGATAAGGTCTTGGACGTTTTTCATTCCACGCACGAATGAGGTCACGTTCCTTGGTATGGAATGCAGCATGACGCAACATGTGAGCTTTTGTGACGAATCTTTTGTGACATACATCACATTTGAATGGTTTGTCGCCTGTGTGGTTTGCGTGATGGTATTTCAGAGCGGCTGATGTGTAAAAGGCTTTATCACAGAATTCACACGTGTGATTCCTTTGTCCTGCGTGACGCAGCATATGTGTTTTAAGATTTTTTTTAAACCTGAACGTTTTCGCGCAATAATCACACTTGATGTCAGATTTGACCTTCGAATGAATCGCGAGCATGTGATGATTTTTATCCCCTAGTCCAGCAAAAGCTTTACTACATACATCACATTTGTAAGGTTTCTCTCCAGTATGAACTCTTATATGTCTTATAAGAACCGATTTCTGTCTAAAAGACTTATCACAAACTGTACAGGCATGAGGTTTGTCTCTTGATGCGATTTCACATGTCTTCTAAAAGCAGCACTTCCTGAAAATACTTTACAGCAGACATCGCAAGAGAATTTTTCATCAGCGGGATGCGTCAATTTATGCAAATCTAATTTTTCCTGAGTAGTGTATTGCTTTCCGCATTTTGAACATCGATATAGTTTTCGCTTTATGTCACTGTGTACTTCCAAATGTTTTTTCACTTCTGTTACAGTTTTAAAAGATTTATCACAGACGTCACATTTATGAGGTTTCTCTCCAGTATGAATCAACATATGACTTTGAAGGCCTCGTAATCTCTTAAATCCACGCATACAAACATCACAGCGGAATCTCTTCACGTCAGAATGAACCAGTCTGTGAGTTCTTAGAGTAGATGCGCGATTAAATTTCATATCGCAAATGTTACATTTATAGGGCATTAAGGATGTATGGGTAATAAAATGAATTTTCAAACTCTGCATGCTTTTGAAGTTTTTGCCACACACCAAGCATTTGACAAGTTCGCGATCTGTTTTATGGACTAGTAGATGTCTTTGGAGCAGTGATTTTGTCTTGAACCTTTTCGGACATTCCTGGCATCGATAATTCCTACCTGAATGTATTTCTCTATGATTCCGAAGGTACGTGCTTGAATTAAACGACTTTTGACAAATGTCACAGACAAAACTACTGTCGCGTTTTACGTGAGTTTTCATGTGACGCACTAGGTCATGTTTCTGACGGAATTCCTTAAGACAAACGTCACATTTGTGGACTTCAGTCGAAGGCCTATGAAGTCGCTGATGACTTTTCAGACGATGTTTAGAAACGAATGTATGATCGCATATTTTACACTTGAAATCCCTAGCATGTACATGTACGAACATGTGTTCTTTTAAATGATTAGGGCGTTTGAACGCCTTTTTGCAAATTGAGCACTGGTACTGCTTAGTATCACTGTGTATTACAGCGTGCAATTTTACTTCATTTCGTGTTTTGCATCTTTTATCACAAAAATCGCATTTGAATGGAAGTTCTCCTGTATGAATAAGCATATGTGTCTTCAAATGAGTACTGCTTTGAAATTTTTTGGGACAAATTTTACACTTGTAGGGTTTATGACCTGTATGTGACCTCAAATGAACATTCAAAACTTCGCTGCAACTATACGATTTCGTACAGACGTGACATGTGTATGGTTTCTCTCCAGTATGAACACGGAAGTGTCGTTGAAGATTGCTTGTATTGTGGTACACTTTGCCACAAAAACCACAGGCGCAGGATGCGTGCCGCTTTGCATGTGCATTAGAATGAAGAAAATAATGTTCCTGTCGCTTTTTGTATGTTCGAAACGACTTGCGACAAAGTTTACACTCGAATGTCTGACGCAAGATTTCTACATCAGACCCACTATCAGAGTTTTCATCATTGGCTGACATTTGACCTTGACCTTGATTATGACTATTGGGTTCAAAGGTCAGAGCTGTGACCTCTACATCAGATTCGTTATCACTAACTAAAATATTTTCGTTGACGTCAAGGTCAAGGTCAAGCAGACTGTTAATGGAATTGGGATCAAAATCTACGTTGACTAACTCTACGTCGCTTTCATCTGAGCCATCGTCATGGTTACTTTCTCCAAAATGGATGTTTAAATTTTCAAATTCATCATCTACATCATTGCTGACTTTCTTTGATTTATCATTTTTCTTGGAATTTTCTGGCGCCAAATTATCTGGGATGACCAAACATGGTCCTGATTGAATGCTTATGCCATTTTCAGTTTTTGAAGAGTTGTCTTTCTTTGGCTCTGAGATTTTTGTCGGGGAAGTCTTCTGAAATTCCAATTTATTTGAACTATCTGGCACAACTAAGTCATGTCCTGGCCTATTTGTGGTCGTAAATGTAGGCCATTTTTTTTCACCCAATCCTAATGTCAAATTCCTGTTAACTTTTGCACTTGCCTTACCATTAATATTTTCAAAATTTGCTGCAGGAATTATTTCTGCATCTTCTTTAGGAACTGGGGCATCGAAAATTAGGTTCAATTCACAAATTTCTGATTCAGTCACTGACTCCAAAGCCAGAGAAGACAAATGAGAATTTAAATTCTTTGGCGGATTCACGTCTGCCACCATTGTGGGCTCTTCATCATCACTGATTTCCATGACATCATCAGAACTTGTGCTTTGGTCGTCAGAATCTGTGCTTTCATCACTTGAATCTGAGCTACTTTCATCAGAACTTGAGCTTTCATCACCAATTTCTGTCAAGTCAATTACTTCTAACTGGCTTTGGTTTCCAGCTTGCTTTTCTATCTCTCCAGAACTTGTTGCCTCCATTTTATCTTTATCTATGAAAAATAAAAAAAAATCTTGAGTTATTACAGGAAATAAGGAAGGTGGAATAACATCACACATGGTAGCCTAACCTTTTTTAAAAAAAATAATTAAAATATATTTCTTAATACAAAATACCGCACGTATTTAGGGGCCTCTTTTTCTAGAATATTCGCAGCAAATTTAAATCTTGGGCAGTGCTTCTACAAATTTTGACATGAATAGGTACAGTAGGCTGATACAAATGTGTAAAAAATAAAAGCAGTAAGGCCTAAAGATCAGGTAAAAGTTATTTATACCCCACCCCTACAAGTAAATGGGGTTAAATTTTGCGTTTGACTGAGGAAAACTGCCCTTGAGTCAGTTCGCCTAACGACTGCATCCATATGCGCACGAGTTGGCAAATTACACACACGAATTTTTTATATTTTTCAAAACATAACGCCAAACCAAAGCAATATAAACCACTAATATGTTATTAAAACATATTTCTATTATTCAGTAGAACAATAACTTACCTTTCCAAGTAATATAAGAGCCTCAAAATAACTTTTAAGACGAAATACAAACTTTTCTACAACTTTTTATTATTGTGCCGTGTACATATTGTGAAATGATTCATGCATTAAATTTGCAGAAACGAAATATATGCTGGTTGCGTACAATTTAGGTAAAATCTTTCAAAACGAAAACGAAATGATTCATAAAAATATGGGCTGATGATTTTGCTTTCATGTATCTTGTATATTTAGGATATCCTAATATCTTCTGTTAAATAGTTCAGTCAGTAGTAAGTAAAAGCAAACCAATTCTGTTAACCAAAATTATCTGGCTCACTGCATTACAAAATTGGGAGCAAGTTTTGTATGGTGTTTCAAATGGAGTATGTTAGATTGTCCTCTGCTTGGACATGCCCCAACCATTGCTTCTACAGAGAGAAAAATGTCAGCCAACAAGCTGTTATCACCGAATCTCAAAGAACGATTCATTGAGTCATGAATTGATATAAAAAAAATTGTAGAAAAAAATCTTATTTATTAAAAGTAGAACAAACTAAAAAGATTTTTACAAGTTGTTTTCATTATAAAAACATAGATTAAAATACTGAAAATCACCCATTGGCCATATTTAAAATTTGAGCAAAAGTTTTCTCAATTGGACGAAAAAGCTCGCAGAAAATTTGCAAGAACGATCACTAGAAATCGCAACATTCATTCAACAGGATGAGAATTTCTTCTCCTTATCGTTCCTTCTTAGATCTTGTGTTGTATTTATTCTTAAATTCGCTATCCACAGCAGACGATAAAACTTGAACACGTCCACCATTTTGTTTTTTAGGTGACTTCTTATTTTTCTTGCTAGGTGACGACTTTTCAAAGGAAGCCTTTAAATGTCCAGTTGTCATGGCAATGTAGGATTGACACAGTAAGGCAAGGGGAATAACTACCCAGATGCCGTTAAAAAAGATCAGATAAACCCAGAGATACAAGACGTTGTCGGTTACTAGGTTGGGACTTCCTGTCAGCCATTCTGGACAAAATGTCATCCAACCTACAAAATAAAGTAAATTTGTACAAATTCAACAAACCACTTCCACTTCATATGGGGACTGTAGTTCACCTTATCCAAATAGCTGCATATACTGTGGTGAATTATAACCAATCAAAACAACCTTTTTATACACAAGGGGGAGTGTCATATGCAATAAAACCAGTAAAAAATATGAAATGAAATGGAGCTTTACATCCTACCTTTCGGCACTTGACAAGAAGATGTGAAAAACCCAGTGGTGGAGCCAAAGGGGAGGCAGAGGGGCCCCAGATATCTCCCACCCCCTTGGACGTAAACATGGCTCCACCACTGGTAACACCATACAGGGGTAAATAATGAGGGAAATGCCAGAACATTCAGTAATCATTAGGTGACAAGGCAGAAGTGAGAGTGCAGACCACATGTTGTCAAGAGGGCACATGGGCATATTTACTATAAGTAAAATAATAAGAAATTTGATGGGGGTGAGGGAGACAGATCCAGTGGCAGATGCAGAACTTTGGATAAGAGGGGGCCCCTGCCAAATGCATATTTCTGGCCTCAGCTTTTGAGGGACAGACGGCAGGGGACCAGAATCACTATACATACCTCCATAGAGTTCACAAACACACAAAACAACCTGAACAAAATGTCTATAAGATCTGTCTTTAACTATAGCATAGATTAACACTAGACACAGCAGACCGTCTACAACCACTGTTAATATCTCAAGGGAGACAACTGTAGGATCTGATATCAGCCATCTTTTATCAGCTTTACCATATTCTTTCCCTGAAATTATGAAGAATTTTTCACATTATTTATGAAGACTTCATAATAAATTGTTTAACATTGGTATCAAAAGGCTGAAATAGGTCAGTTGTCTGCAGAACGCGTAACGTGAAACTCAGACTAACAACATGTTTCAGGTTCTGTTTTAATATTTCTTAATCGCTCTACAATTGATGTATTGAGCGCTTTTTTTAACAGTGAAAATATTTTACATTTGTATCATGTATATTGGGCCTTGTGTATGGTTCTTTAAGCACCATTCCAAGCCAAAGTCTGCAGTTCTTGCAGTTCCAGACACATTTGTAATTCTCGGGTACAAAAGGCCTAGACGGCACCCAGACCCCAGCCTGGCTTCCAAACTCATTTACAGCCCTGGCTTTTTGAAAGATTGATATAAAGACTGACTTACATAACAGAGCTGAGAAGTGGGTTGAAGATTCCACAGTTCCTGTTAATGAGAAATAGAGAAAGGCCAGTTCCTGAAATAAAAAGAAGTGAAGCTGTGATTGACATTCTATCGTGCATGCAGTGAAGATAGTTCTGATATATAGTTGTAGTTTCTTTCATTGTAGGTAAGTATATGTCAAAAGCGAATTTTGAAAAGGGATACAGATAGGCAATCTTGAGCTCTATGACTCTATTAAGTGTAGGCTAAGGCAACCCATAGTTATCTTATTCTTATTGCACGGTCAATGATACTAAGAGAAAGAGGAGGTTAAGGGCTAACAAATATATAGGAGACTATGAAGAGACTCATTAACTCAATAAGCCCATAGTCATCTTGGCCTTAGAGTGCAGGTCAAAGCAGAGGTCAATGCTGTCACTTACGTCAGTGTCATTGTCATTAGATTGACCTTGGCCTTGCTGAGGAATAGATTAATAAAACAAAGTTCAAAGGTCACATAGACTAAATAATGTTACTCAATAAGTTTAACTGGCCACAAATCAACAATGTTTCGCAATAACCATTGATAACCAACGTACCAAAGTCAAATGTGTCATTCCATCAAAAACAAGCCAAGACAACGCCCACTTTTCCACTTGAGCAAGTCGTTTCTCAAGTTTAAAACCCAATACGATGCTGATTGCGGCCATTAAAGCTGTGACACCTAAGGAAACAACCGTCACGGGGTTGATTAAATCGTCCATTTTGGTTCTCAAGCTTTCAATCAGCGAATTCCCTGAAAAGTTCTTGACTTCATCAAGTTTGGGTTTGTTTACTTTCGAGACACGTGCTCTTTCCCGCGCACTTTCACCTTTGGTATGGCAGTAATATTTTCGAATCCGGAAAATCTGAAATAAATTTCCGCATCAAGGTTTTCATTTTCCCCGAGAATTTTGTCTAATGTTCAATTTTACAGTAATTTTACGTATATTGTACTGAAATATTTCATACGAAAATAAAATTCAGTAATGACTAAACCAAAAAGGATTTGTAAGCTGCTCTGTGATTGGTCATTTCGCTCTATTCCTTAATTAATCTGAATGGCAATTAAAAAAAATTCTGGCTTCTCCAATTAACGCATAATTAAACACTTTTAGTCAAAGTGTGCTTCTGTTTGGTTTCCAAAATTTGAAATTTGCAAAAAATGTCAAAATGTGTTAAAAATTGTGAAATAATTGGATAAAGGTGTGAAAAATTGACCAATCGCAGGTCTGTTTACTTTTCTCGTCGTCGACGGCATGTTCCTTTCTGAAGGCCGACATTTTGGTTTGGAAATAGACGATAAGTAAGAAGTTAGAAATTCTGTACAAGAAGACAAATTTACCACAAAATATCATCAAAATGGAACAAGAAGCGACAGATAACTTGAAAGGAAGAGGCCATTTGTTCAAAAATAAAGGCAAAGACCCTGATGTAAGTTGTTGAAATGATTAAATCTTGTTGTGAAATTGCAATTGCGCGGTTGGCTGGGTCAAATTCGATAAAGTCGAAGTTGAAGCAATGGCAAATATTTCCTACAATCAATCCCTTAGATATATGAAATCATGTTTTCAAAGGTGGCTTATTAAACTGTTAAATTGGCATTAAATTTGTTAGCATCACGTTTTGGGGGATCTGTTTGGAAGGGGGAGGGGAGCTTCAAAAACAACATAAGCCCTTCATCCTTCATGCTTGGTTTCATATCCTGTGCCCCCTGTGGAATGAAGAAAATGGGGTCATTTCTAGCCATGGTAGGGTAGGCTATCCAATAGCAATTTGTAAAGTTCATTTTCTTTGGCTCTTACTATGACATTGACAAAGTATAAACTAAAATTTTGAGGTGTACAAACTCATTGTGGGTGGGAGAAAATCTTTTCCCATCTATTCTATATTGGCTTGTCAATCATGTTCTAAATTCTATGAACCAATCTAAATTCTGCCTATGATTTTTAATGGTTCATGCTTGATTTTTTTGTAGGAAATGAGAAGAAGACGAACAGAGGTAACTGTAGAATTAAGAAAGGTAAGGCAATAAATGATCAAATTATCTGCACGGATTAAACACACCAATACAATTTGCTCTTGATACACAATTTTTATTTAGAGGCGCTGCTAAATTTGAAACCTTAAGGGCCCACAACATTTGATTTTATACATTTCTGATTATTGATTGAAAATCAAAATCAAAATTTTGACCCTTCAGGGTTTAGATGTTGTTTTTCTATCAAACAGTTTTCATGAAGTTCTTTTGAGGACCTTGAAAATGACAAATATCCATAAGAATATACAAGTATCAAAATAGTGATAATGATGCAAATATTTATGAGTTTGAATGATTTCTATTTACAGTCAAAGCGAGAAGAGCACATGTTAAAAAGACGAAATGTTCCAGCCCAAGACAGTACAGACTCTGAGGACAGTGAAAGAACTACCCCCCAATCTTTACAGTCAATAGTAGCTAATGCTGCCAGCCCAGAACCCAGTGTTCAGTTTTCAGCTGTTCAAGCTGCCAGGTCAGTTATTCCAGAAGTTTTTGAAAAAGTGTAAAAGTAACTTCTAACATAAAGAGCTCAAATTCAGCTATGCACCCATAAATTTTGTATGTGTATCTGGAACACTGGAAGCATCAATTTGCACCATTTCAATTTTCAATCAGAAGTCTGTGGTTCTTCCAATTCCACTGAAAATAAGTATTTTAGATGTCACAGGGGTAGTGATGTGGTGTTCAGTGTTTAAGCACTCTTCAGGCCTACCCAATGCTGTATAACACCACTTTGATTTTAAATTTACAATATAGTACTCGATCCTTGGGTGTAAAACTCTATTTCATTGTGTGTTTATTGTATTATAGGAAGTTGCTGTCCAGTGATCGTAATCCACCAATAGATGATTTAATAGCATCTGGTATTCTACCCATCCTAGTAGGCTGTTTGATCAAAGATGACTTGTAAGTACTTTAATCTTCTTGTACACTCTCTGTTTAATACATTAACATCATTCGATATTTGTCTTCTAGGCAGCAATTTGATTGGATTGTACTCTAGCAAATACAGCCAATCAGAGCCCTTGATACATATATTTAACATCACGTCTGCACATTTAACATCTAGTTCTTATGTGCCATCGTAAAGCCCCCTCTTAAGTTGAGTTTTCTGACAAGGTATCAGTTCTCATTACATAAGTCGAAATGTGACAAGCAAAATCTAAGAGCAACAAGATTTTCAAATACTGCTGACAAGTGGTGGCAACTGGAAAAATTGAAGATTCCTGAAAACTCATGGTTGCTCCCAGAATGGCCTGGCGGTACCATGTAAGTTAGATCTGTTTGTTTAATGGTTGGAAGCTTGTTAATGTAACTCTTTCTTTGCAGTTCGTCCCTTCAGTTTGAAGCTGCCTGGGCTCTCACTAACATAGCATCTGGTACATCAGCTCAAACCAAAGCAGTTGTTCAAGCAGGTAGGAACCATTTTAATTCAGGAATTGTAAAGAGGTTTTCTAAACTTTTTATGTGTGTCAGTCATTTATTGCTTTTGTTTGCACCATTCCAATTTTCATCAGATTATCCATACCCATTTACAACTGGGTGACTAGAATAATGATGAATGACTTATTCAATAAGGGCACATGTTGACCGAGATTAGAACCCACAACCACCATTTGTTTCACGTATGGATGTTTTGTAATATTTGTCGTTTCTTTTTCTATTTTTAGGAGCTGTACCTTTATTTTTAAGACTGTTGCACTCGACTCATTCGAATGTCTGTGAACAGGCCGTTTGGGCTTTAGGAAACATAATAGGTAAGCTTGTGGAATTTTGGAATCCCCGACCGGTGCATTTGATCATGACATCTGTAATTTGACAATAAATATGGCAGATATTCACAAGACTGTGCGCATCATACAAAATTGTCCTTATTGCATACTTCTTGGCTTAATAGATTTGATAGCTCAGCTCGTACTATTAGGGTGTAAAACTCCATTTCATTTTTCTTTCTATTATAGGTGATGGTCCTCAATGTCGAGACTACGTCATTAGTTTAGGAGCTGTCAAACCGTTATTAAATTTTATCAATCCCAAAATTCCCCTGACATTTTTACGAAATGTAGCCTGGGTTATTGTGAATCTGTGTCGCAATAAAGAACCCCCACCCCCTATTAGAACAATAGAAGAAATATTACCAGCTTTATGTTACTTGATTCACCACACAGACGTCAATGTGAGTATAATTTAAAGAGATTGTAAAGAGGTTTTCTAAACTGTTTACGGAAACACTGAACGCGTTTTATGACATCACTAGAGGGGAACTACCGGAAGCTACCATTGATGCTGTTCCGCTCAGGTGACATCATAAAACACGTTCGTTTTAGTGGAATTGCAAGAACCGCAGACGTCTGATAGTTTGATCTCCAGGAATTGATCCTGACAGAGTTAAAGACAATGCCTTTTATTTTATTTTATTTTAACATATTTTGGTTGTCAGTGATATGAATTAGAGTATCCCTTGATGATTTAGAACTTCAATTTAAAAGGTTAATGCCACGGTCCTTTCAAAATTTCTCTGATTGCACACTGCATTAGCCTGAGTGTAGAAAATCAGGATTTAAAACTCCCATTTCGTATGATGTTGAATTGATAGGTGGACACTTGTCATGTGGTCAAAATCTCTCTATTTCATTTCCAAACATCAGAATAAATGAATTAAGTTTAATTTGAAAATATTGTTATTTCAGATATTGGTAGATACAGTGTGGGCGTTGTCGTATTTAACAGATGGTGGTAATGATCAGATTCAACTAGTAATAGATGCTAACGTTGTTCCTCTTTTAGTTCCTTTATTAAGTCATCCTGATGTCAAAGTTCAGGTAGGGTCAAAGTTCAAATATTGTGCTGAAGTTTTTTCAAATATTGTTATTTGGATTATGAGTCGAAAGGAAGGGTGTAAAGCTCCATTTCATTTCATTTGATTATGAACTGAATAAAGAACAGAAAAGAAGGATGTAACTCTATTTCATTTCCTACTGACGTGTCTTTAAGTTTGAAAATTTCCCTCATTGCACACTGTTTCTATTTCAGACAGCAGCATTACGAGCTGTAGGTAATATAGTAACTGGGTCAGATGAACAAACACAAACAGTTTTATCTTGTGATGCTCTGTCACATTTCCCTTCTTTATTAACACATCCTAAAGAGAAAATTAACAAGGTAGGTCAAGGGCAATAACTCTTTTCTATAATGTACACTAAGGACCATAACTCTAAGGGGTCGTTTGATTGGTGAGGTCTGCCTCTAGAGAAAAAAATATGGGATCATGATTAACATTATACAAATAACTGTTTAAATTATCATGAATTTTGACAATTCAAAGAACCTTTTCTAAGGGGCTATTACAGTGCATATTTTATCAACCTTGGCAAAATTTTTATCACTTAATGCTGCATGGTTTTGTCTGTTTATTCCTTTATTCATTCTTTTAATCATTTATTCATTCTATTTACAGGAAGCTGTGTGGTTTTTATCTAACGTCACTGCTGGTAACCAGCAGCAAGTTCAAGCTGTTATTGATGCTAATTTAATTCCTTTAGTTATACACCATTTATCTAGGGTAGGTATTAGGCCACGCCTTCTTCTCTATAGCCACACCCACCTAGCTCCGCCCACCAGAAATACGGTCACACCTTTCAATTCCATTGTGCCTGTGTATCTTGGAAAGTGCTTCTAATAAACCTCACCCACTTGTGATTAGCCAAATTAAATTCCTTGAGTTATACACCATTTGTCTAGCATAGGTATTAGGCCCCACCTTCTTCGCTCTAGCCACACCCTCTGGCTCCATCCTCTAGCTATCATCCAATATAGTGCTTGTCTAGGGTATTTGAACATGCCCTCTTCGGTCTGATAAACCAAATCCCTGTGTGCTACAGAATGTGCACGTTGATAACCCATCGTTAGTTGGAATTGGAAAAAGAGAAGGCGTATGCCACTGTCAGGACAAAATTTCCCTCATTGTACACTTTCCTTCCCTTTATAAGCCCTATTTAATTACTTTTCAGTGCCAATTCCCCCTTTTTTTTTTCGATGCTCACAAATTTTGTGTTTTTTCCAGGGTGAATTTCAAACACAGAAAGAAGCCGCGTGGGCGATCAGCAATTTAACAATTAGCGGTAAAAAAGAGCAGGTGATGTTCGTTGTAACATTAGGAGTTATTCCCCCTTTCTGTGATTTACTAAGCGTGAAGGATACTCAAGTGGTGAACGTAGTTTTAGACGGCATCAATAATATTTTAAAAATAGCCGATGAACCCGAAACTATAGCTCAGATGATAGAGGAATGTGGAGGTAAGAGAATTAGCTCCTGTTCAGTGAGCGCCTTAAATTATTGATCTCAAGTCATGTCCTAATTTCCTAGAGATCATGAGATTGTCACAATGTTTTGGATACACAATCTTCATCAGGACAGCTACAGTATATGCCATTTAATTTATGATCTCAAGTGATCTCCTTAAGAGTTTATCTCAAGCTGCTGTCAAACACAATCCTCATCAGGACGGTTTGGGAGTCGATTTTTTTTTTCGGAAGTTGGAAATTTAAATAGAGTAGACTAATGCCATTGTCAACTAGTAAATTTCCTTCATTGCACACAACACGGCAGGGTCTGTTCTCAACTTGAAGAGTAAGTTTGTAATACCTCGTTCCATTTCATTAGTCTAATAAGGTGCAGAATTTGATTTGATTTAAAATAAATGGCTATATTATTGAAGTAAAACTCCACTCCATTTCAATTAACTATGAAACTGTTTATTTTATTCCAGGTTTAGACAAAGTAGAAGCTCTACAGAATCATGAAAATGAAGATATTTACAAATTAGCTTATCTTATAATAGATCACTATTTTTCAGGAGTAAGTAGCTTTTCTGTATATTGGGTTTAAAAGTGTCATGAGTCATCTTCTATTATGAACTTTGTCTTATACCTTGACTGCAATTTTCACATTTCTGTGATTGGATTGTACGCCAGCGAAATTGTCATGAGTCATCTTCGCAATTTCAAACTATTATGAACTTCTTATACCTTGACTGCAATTTTCATATTTCTTTGATTGGATTGTACGGCAACAAATACAGCCAATCAGAGGCCTTGATTTTCGTGATCACAGTTTGTAGCTTGACATTGTGAAGATGGGTAGACCTGGGATTCATCACACTGTATTGGTCAAAAGAACTTCTTGTTATGTGAAAGGTTACCTGTACTCATGTTATTAACAAGCTTAGTTTGTGTGTTCATTTTTACAAAACAAATCGTATAAATGACTATATAGCATACTGATTGGTCGGTCTGAAAATCACATGACATCGTAATTTTTTATTGCCTCTTTAGTTTGTTGCAAATTGCCAATGCTTTGTTCTAATTCTAATTTCAAACTTTGGGACAAAAACAATCTATGACTGTTATATCAGGGTGTAAAACTCCATTTCATTTCTATTTTCAGGATGAGGATGAAGAAGTTACTATAGCACCGGAAGCATCAAGTGAAGGCTATCAATTCGACAGTAATACCCAAATTCCTCAAGATGGTTTTAAATTTTGATGCGGCACGACAGAAAGGTGGAGCAAAAAAAACTCCTTCCAATGTTTTAATTGGTATACGCTATAAGAATACAAAACAACAACCATGCATATATTTTACTTGTGACTTTTACGGACCACCCTCGTTCAAACATGGTTTTAAAACAATTCAGACAAATTTCTGCTTTTCCGATAAAAAAGATAACAATTTTCCAGATATTTTTCTTGAAAACATGAAGAATTTTTGCTGTTTGGAAATTGGAAATATTGTACAGTTTCAGAAATAGATGTTAATATTTTCCACAGTTTGACAAATGTACCCCTGTTTCTGCAATTATTAAAAAAAAAATATGGAAATACTTCTGCTGTTAATTTAACAATTCTGTGCTATTTTTTCACCTGTTATGGATAAGCTTAAAAAATATTCTCCTGTTTCAACATGCAAAAGGAAATTTCCCCCTGTTCGGGAATGGAAAAAACAAAAATATAGTTTTGGAGAATGGGTTTAAAACATCTCCAAGAAACGATTCAACAATTTTCTTTGTGTGCACAAGTTTGCAAGGGCAATGACAATGGACATAATACATTTAACGTGTGAACACAGTTCTGAAAACATGTGAACTCTTCAAATGAATTTCTGGAAATTCTGAAATTGCTGTGAAAATATGACAATACACGGAACTTTGAAATATCCAAAGATAGCTTTAGCTTGAAATATTGTGAATTTATAGAAATTGACAAAATAAAGCCTGGAATAAAACGGGGAAATTTTTGAAATGCCAGATCTAGTATTTAAGAGACATATCTCCAGACTTAAGATTCCTGAAGAAAAACTATGCGCACATTTAGACTTGACAATAAAAGACAAGCCTGTTGAAAAGGACAATCCAAAAGCTGCAGGTACTTGTAAAAGACTGAGCACAACCTGGACGCTTTGTACAAGTGAATAATTTCAGAACACCAGGAATCGTAAAATAAGCTGTGACACTTTGAAAATTGAGTTTGGAAATGCACCCATCCTTCAAAGCTGTGACTTTTTAAATTTTGCGTTTGGAAATGCACCCAACTTTTGAAGCTCACTTTTCAAATTTTGCGTTTGTAAATGCACCCAACCTTCAAAGCTGTGACTTATCAAATTTTGCGTTTGTAAATGCACCCAACTTTTGAAGCAGTGACTTATCAAATTTTGAGTTTGGAATTGCACCCACCCTTCTCATTTTTTTTCTCATATTGTTGTTTTTTGTGGAAAATAATTCCTCTTTTAAAGTGGAGATCTGCTGAATTTTTTTTAAAGTATATTCGGTGGAGCTTGCCCTCAAAAAATTTTATTTAAGGGGTAAGGCCTAAAATTAAGGTCAAAAATTTGCAAATATTTTAAAATAAATTCGCTCAAGAATAACGCATAAAATGTTAAATAGGGGATATAATTTTTACCAAAGTTTTTTTAAAATGTCTTCCCCAAAATGGCTCTGCAGTTTATATATACGTCACTATAGTGCTCAAACGGGTAACCAAATATCCGGTTAATGGTTACAAACTCAAGGATATCTGAACATTTATCTTGGTTACAAACAGGATATCTGTGTACGGTTATAATCTTGAGGATATCTGGTTACCGGTTACAATTTAAAGGATATCTGTTGAAGGTTACAAATTCAAGATATTCGGTTAAATGTTACTAACTCAAGGTTATAACCAGCTAACAGTTGCAAACTCAAAAGATATCCTTAAAGTGGTTATAACTTAGGATTTCCAGAATAAAAATCAGTAACTGTTTGAGCACTACAACAGACAAGTGGCAAGATGGGATGCACGTGCATTGCATGTTGTCAGGGTTCTATTGATGTTCAATTCAGCATGCTCCTAAAAGATGGGTTATTTCAAGGATGTGAATTAAGATTTTTTATGAAACATCCAAAATAATTTGTATTTGAGTTTTTAAGTGAGCCTTAAAATGTTGATCAAAGCTAGATATTTTTAAAAATCAAGTTGTTACTTTGAATTATGACTTTTTTTTTTGCAATTCTGTTCTTTGCTTTAGAAAATTAAGGCTTTTGGCTTCAGAAAATTAAGGATCTTAGCTCTAGAAAATTAAGGTTCTTGGCTGGATCTTGGCTTTAGAAAATTAAGGATTTTGACTTGAGAAAATAAAGGATCTTTGCTTTAGAAAATTAAGGATCTTGGCTTTAGAAAATTAAGGATTTTGGCTTTAGAAAATTAAGGATTTTGGCTTTAGAAAATTAAGGATCTTGGCTTTAGAAAATTAAGGATCTTGGATTTAGAAAATTAAGGATCTTGGATTTAGAAAATTAAGGATCTTGGATGGATCTTGACTTTAGAAAATTAAGGATCTTGGCTTTAGAAAATTAAGGATCTTGGCTCTAGAAAATTAAGGTTCTTGGCTGGATCTTGGCTTTAGAAAATTAAGGATCTTGGCTTTAGAAAATTAAGGATCTTGGCTCTAGAAAATTAAGGTTCTTGGCTCTAGAAAATTAAGGTTCTTGGCTGGATCTTGGCTTAGAAAATTAAGGATTTTGGCTTTAGAAAATTAAGGATCTGTACTTGAGTTCCACTAAAGCTATGGCTACTGAAATTTAAATATTAAAATTTAGTAGGCAGTGGTATATCTAAGTTGTGGGTGGATCCAGTTTAAATCTCCCACAGGGTAAAGTAATTTAAGATGATATGGCCAATGCCTCCGATAGTCATCCCAGTCTTAGCTCTCTTCTAATGATAAACTTAATATTTCTTTTAAGAAATATTGGTCAAGATATCAAATATATTTTACCAGTTTCATAAGCAAAGAATATTCACAAAAGGTATTGTTGAAACTTTGGAAAGAAGTTTTTTTCAATAATTTTATTGAAGGCATCAACTCTCTATGAAATTTTGTTAGTTGGAGAGCAAAATCTGCCAAAATACATTATGTATTTGATTTAGTTAACTGCAAAGTACATAAATTTTGGCAAGTTTTGTGTGTAAAAATGCCTTATAGAATTAAAAAAAGGTTCTTGTGTTCCTACAAATAGATCTTGTCTTGTGAAATTAAGAAATTGTCAGCAATTTATTTTGTGGAAGAAGAAAAATTCCAAAATATTTGGTTTTTTGTCATTTCAATATTGGTTGTGATTCACTTTTTAGGGTAAAGAAATCCAATTTTGAAATGACCATAGTTTTGTCAATGTTTAAGCACATCTGAAAAGAAAACTTTTTTCTTGTCCTTCATTATGCCAGTTGGGTAAATGGATTCGGATATTGATGTTTGGCCAAGGATCAGCTGGAAATGGGATCTTTGGAACCTAAGCAATTATCCTTGAAAATGAGCTGTAATCAGACATGACTGGTAAATACAATCAAATCATCAGTCTAGAGCTCTAGTCAGATAGGACTGGCAATAAACAAACGAGAGCTGTAGTAGATATAACTGGCAAATAAAGTCAAATCAACAGCCCTGAGCTTGTTCTGTGATGTGCTTAAAATTGTTTAACAAGCTTTAACTTGTATTCAGATCATAGGGACTCGAAATGTAAATAATAAAATCTCTATACTGGAATATTTGAGAGGAAACACAGGGGCCTGTAAGGTGTATATTCTATACCTATAATTGTTCATATTACAACATTGCTACTGACAAAAAAAAACTTGAGAAAAAAAACAACAAAAAACTAATAAAAGAATGAAAATCTTACGTTTTGTTTTTTTTTTCAACCTGGTTTCCCTGTGTGATGCAGGCCAGAGGGGCTGACATGTAAAAAGTGTCCAGTGGATGGGACGAGGCCCAGTGTGCTACAGACTGTTCACGTTAAAGATCTCTCAACAGTTGAATTCGAAAAAATTAGTCTAGTATTGCTGTTTTGGCTAAATTTTCCTCATTGTACACTGCGTAATATTGCCCGTCTTCATTTAGTCCAATCCCGTGCAAAATTAGGACAAGTCAAGTCTCTTTTAGAGTGTTCACATAACTTAAAACAATACTTTAATTTTATTATTCAAAATAAATCAAAAATGTGCTTCAACAACAACAGATCCTTCATCCTGGAAGGAAGCGGCAACTTTTGGACTTTCTCCTGCAGTTGCAATCCGATCACTTTCCGTAGCGCTATCACAGAAATTTCCAGCAAAGTTCTTGGATTCTGGGCATGGAAAGATAAAAATGACAAAATTTCAGGATCATTTACAATTTTTTCTGGAATTGTTCCTTTTCCAAAAAGGAATTTGAAACGACTTAGATTATAGCCTGTATGAGTGAAAAGTCGAATCAGATCAAAATTTCCATCTTGAATAGCGTATTCCATTGCGTCTATGTTATACTCAATTTGCTCGCATTTTCGATATACGTAGCCTTTCATATCCAGTCGTGAATTGTACTTGATGAGCTCTTTGATGATTGGTTGGTGGTTTTTCGTCGTTGCTAATAATATCGGAGTAGCTCCAGAATGAACTGAAAGTAGAAAAAATGTAGGGTCATCTGCTTTTTGATTTTCAAGAACTTTCAAGAGCTCAGCCTCTAGTAGGGTAATACTTTTACACACTGTATTAACGAGCCGACAAAAAGCTCAAACCCATTTCTTTCAGGGATATTTAGGGTGAAAATTAAGCCCTTTAAATGATCAAACTTCATCTCTGGCTATATAAAATCTGTTGACCCCTGGCAACCCCTGGTCAGAAGGGACATCGGCTCTTCAGGCCTCCATTCTCCTTGGAGATACACTTTGTTTTTGCCTCTCCCCTCAGGCATTTTGTATTTACGCTCCTGATCTCTCCTTGGGAAATTTTGAGACAGAATAGCAAACCAATTTACTTACATGTTACATTAACATTAGCTCCATAAGACAAAAAGAGTTCCACCAAGGGGAGACAACCTCTAGTAACTGCTACCATTAAAGGGTTCATGACTTCACACTGGTCTAAATTTAGATCAGTGCCTCGTTGTATTAACATGATAGCCAGTGCAATAACATCCATGTTGAATTCTCTCCCTTCGCGCACGTTTATGAAGATTGCGTTCGTTAATGGTGTTCTTCCTCCTCCGTCATGTTCATTCTGGTCAGATCCCGCATCCAATAATATCTCGACTCCTTTTAGATTCAGCACCACTGCTGCCATCTGGAAAAAAAAAATTAAAATATTGAAATGGAATTGGAGATCTACATCCTACTTTGTTCTTGGGTAATGAGTCCTGGCAATGCCATGCAGTGTGCAATGAGGTCAAATAGTAATCCTCTGTTGCTGATTAGGCTATTGAAGCCATGAATACAAAGTAGAGGAAATATCATGAAATAATTTGCTCCTGCTATTAAAGACCGCAATGCCACGCAGTGTACAATTGGGAATTGGAAAGGGTGATTTATTAATAACAATATTAGCTGTGTGGACTCTCTGAGGACTCTCTGAAATGCAAAGTGAGTTCATAACCCAGGAGAAAGCAGTATCAAGAGTTTGGATAGGGCAGTCATAAACCATCCTTTTCTTTAGGAGAGGAAAGCTCCACATTTTCATGAGTAGAGTGACATAATGAATGTCAATGAAAAGTTAAAGACCGATAAGATGAAAGTTGACACACACCATGATGAATTCATGCACCATGCTTGGATGAGATTTGAACCTGTAGCGCCGTTCTCCTACTTCTTCTCTCTCTTATATGAATATCTGCACCAGAATCTACCAATAGTTGAAGCATCTGATTTAAAATTTCACGATCAGCTTGGTCAGAGTAGCAGCTCAACATTAACGGGGTGTAACCTTCAATATTTTGAATGTCTAAATTGGCGCCATGGTTGATAAACATTTTCACGGAATCAATGTTTCCTGATTCCACAGCAATGTGAAGTGCTGATTTCCCAAAACTGTCCTGATCGTCTGCGACTGAAGAATCGTTCATCAACAAAATTTCTGCGACTTCCACAAACTGACAAACCATGCAATACATTAGCGCCGTCTGCCCCCATTTGTCACGCACGTGGATAAAAGCGCCAGAGTTGAGTAACAATTTCACCATTTCACAACGTCCCTTCGCACAGCAAACATGGAGGATTGATTTAGTACTGATATTCATGTGGTCTTCGTACGATTCATCCACATTAGCTCCAAGTTGGATCAGTTCCTGAAACCTTTGGATGTCATTCTTCTCTGCTGCTAGATACAGCTGGCCATGAAAGGGATCTGCTGCATCTACAACTTCCATATATGGTTCTTCAAACCCGTCTTCAGCTTCAACCATCCTTAGATCTTCAAGTTAACAACTGGATCTAAAATATCAAAAGATAATTAACTAGGCTTGGTTGGATTTAGGATCATGATTTTATTCATTAGCAGACAACAATTCCATATTCAACAGGCCTTTTGGAAATTTGCTTATCTAAGTGAGATTGGAAAGGCAATCATCTACTTAGTTTCGTTCTACATTGGCACTATTATTGGAACTGGAAGTTTTGAAATGGCTTTTCGTTTTTAAAAGTCGGAGGCTAATTTCAAGGCTAGTCATTATATGAACCGTATTGGTGAGACATTATGAACCACCCATTAAAGTAATCCCTGAAAATAAGCCAAAAAGAATTTGACAATGGTTCTAAAATTAGATATTTACAAATCTCCACGATAAGAGTTTTGACAGCTCAATGTTTTGACTGCTGTGTCCTTCACCTTTCACCGGATGTCATCAATAATCATTTCTATGTGTTTTTATCTTAAACCCTAGTGACAGATAATTGGTGCAAATCCTGCCAAAATATATACTTTTTGCATAAACATGACGCAGTATGACCGAAATTTGGTATATTTGTCTGTCCATAATAAGATAAAAACGCCTTTGGTTTAATGTACCTGCTCTACTTCCGGTGTTTCACGCATGAGCAGACGATACCGAGGCTCTTAACGTGGCGACTGTAGACATCCGGATATTTTTGGTAGACGACGAAATTTTTTAGATTTTGGACAACCCTGCGCCTCTAGTTACCAAATTTTATTCTAAGTAATAGGCGAAATCAATATGAGTTCCTCTGGCGAGTTTGGAAATCCTCTACGAAAGTTTAAATTAGTGTTTTTAGGCGAGCAAAGTGGTAAGAAATGAGTGAATTTTATGCAGATTCTAAATTTGTTTACCATCATCTCTTGCTACTCTTGTTTGGGCTGACTCATGACATTTTGACAGTTTCATTGTTTATGGTTGCTTTTATTCTTTGATCTTCTGCTTGCTTGCAATATTTATGTCTTGAATGTTGAAGATGAATTATTGATTGCCTAATTTGATAAGATCTGTCTGCATAATCAGAACTGCTAATGGAAATGAATGAGTAAATATATTGTATTGCAGTAGGCCTAACTGTAAGCTTATTCATATGAGATGCCTTGGGCAAATTTAGTGCATTACAATGACCTGCAATGCCCTGAAGCCAAACTACAAGCCTACTGTTGGTTGTCTAAACCAGCTAAATGTAATGCAATAACTCTATGTTATTGATATTTCTCTTTCAGTCGGTAAAACTTCTTTAATTACAAGATTTATGTATGATAGTTTTGATAATACTTATCAGGTAAATACACAGTTTACATAACATTTCTTCAGTCAAATCAGTAGGTTTCTACCTGGCTGACAACTGTCAGAGCGCTGGTAAGAGTCAGTTGGTTACTATCTGGCTGACAACTATCAGAGCGCAGGTAAGTCAGTGGGTTATCTAACAGACAACTGTCAAAATATCTATCAGAGACTATGTAAGTCAGTAAGTTTCTAGCAGACAACAGCCACAATATCTATCAATGGTCATGAAGTTAATGACCCCAAAAAATGAGACATGGGGTCAAAAGTTCAACGAAAAATGCATGGTGTGTGACAACTTATATTGAAAAAGCTTAATGATTTATATTTTTTGTGTTTAATAATTTCAGGCTACTATAGGAATAGATTTTTTATCCAAGACCATGTACTTAGAAGATAGAACAGTAAGTCTCCGTATTTAGTATTTTTGAGATGTCATCATGTCAATGTTAATCCATCATTTTACTACTCCAAGAGAATATTAGAAAATTGATTCTTCAGATTAGTTGCAGATTTGCACATATTGTTGGGCATGGTGGCATTTGTCATGGTGCAAATTCTAAAAACACTAGTAACTAATTATGTATAACTGGACGTTTGTTAAGAGACAGTAATAGATATTATTAGCTATGTGGACTCTACAAAAGGAATGCTGACAAGACAAATGGAGTCTCGGAATTCCAATCTTATTCTCATCTTCTATAAATGTATTTTTATTTGATTATTTGTAGATAAGATTACAACTGTGGGATACAGCCGGACAAGAAAGATTCCGTAGTTTGATACCAAGTTATATTCGTGATTCTTCTGTCGCTGTAGTTGTTTATGATATCACTAGTAAGTAGTCACCTTTTGGATGTCAGAGCTGGGGGGATATTCCATCTCTGAATGAATTAAGGCACCTCTACAAATAAGTTGGCACCACCAAAAAAATCAAAACCCATAAAATTTAATGTCTACAAAAATAGAAGCAAATCACAGTTAAATATTTTTTTTAGATGCCAATTCATTTCACCAGACATCAAAATGGATAGATGACGTGCGGACTGAAAGAGGAAGTGATGTCATCATTATGTTAGTTGGTAATAAAACTGATTTATCAGACAAAAGGTAGGTGTGGAAAAAAATTGATCCACATTATTTCATTTCCAATACAGTTTTGGACATGGGTAACAAAAGCCCAAGAAGAAGGGTTATAATGCCAACATTGGTCAAAAGCCCAAAAAGTTACATATACAGATAACTGAAGTTTAATTCATTCATTCTTCAATTTACTGTCTCAATAGATCATTCATTCAATTTCTAGGTGAACTTATTCATTTAATCATTCACTCATTCATTCATTCATTTATTTCAGACAAGTAACAACTGAGGAGGGAGAAAGAAAAGCTAAAGAATTAAATGTGATGTTTATAGAAACTAGTGCTAAAGCTGGCTACAATGTCAAACAGGTAGGCAGAAATTATTTTCACTTTGATCAAATCCCTAAACAGAATATGATAGCATTAAGGTGCCTTTGGCATATATTGTTACCATTGTTTTCTTATCCTATGCTGAGTGCATAGCATCTTTGATTTTTTATGTTTCTATGGAACTTTGGCCAAAAGTTAGTGCAAATGAGTCTCAAATTTCATAGTTTTCTTTGGGTGACAAATATATTACTAGCTGTTATGTACTTATTCACCCCATTTCGCTGATTTCAGTAGTGCCATGCTGGAATTTCGCTGATTTCAGTAGTCCTATGCTGAAATTTCACTGAATTCAGTGCTAGTGCCATAAAGGCCAAATAGAAACACAGTGCATAGTTAAAATCAGAAATTCTTGTCATGTACTGAGGACTGAATAAAGCTGGCAATCTTGTATAATCTGATATCCTTTGTGTTAATTTTCCAACTTTTGTTTTCAGTTATTCCGAAGAGTTGCCGCAGCGTTACCTGGAATGGAACAAACAGAACCTAAAAAAGGAGAGAGTATCCTTTACAATTTAATTGCTTATTTTTTTTATTTTCCCCCATTGCCCACTTTTAATTTTCTTTTAAGTTGCTAAATTATAGTTAAGTTTTTAAAGCTGAGAGCTGAGCTGCTTGTTAGCCTCCATGTGTGTTTTGGATATAGAAACCTCAGCAGCACAGTTAGTAAGTGGTAGGGCATATAACCAAAGTAAGCATAATCACTGACAAGGGGCGATAGAGGGTGCCCTTTCATTAAACTAAAAAATTGAAGAAAATGCTAGACTTCTTGTGCAATGTGCCCAGTTCAATCAATGAGTGAAATGAGATGTCTTCAAATGCTGCAAAAAAAACAGCGTGGTTATTCTTGAAAAGGTATGGTATACTAAGCTTTGATCAACTATAATAAAGCTTTTAGCTGACTGAAAACTTTGCTGAAAGTGCAGTAAAATTTCTGGCCTTTCAAACAACACAAATTGGCATGAAAATTTGCTTCCATGTCAGCCTACACTTTTGAGCAACAACTAATCTCCATTAAAAAAAAGTTGTCCTGTTAGCCTGCTCTTTTGAGCAACCACTAAAACTGCAAACAATTTTGCTGTGTAAGCTTACTCTTTTGAGCAATAACTCATATTTGTTTTGTGTTGTGCAAATACTTTTAACTTTCCGTTCTGCACTTGCTTTTGTATTTGTGATTTTTTTTTTCATTTTTGTAATTTTCCCACTGTGTTTTTGATTTTCCTTAATTGAGCCTCAGTGACGGAAGTCAAATTAAAAGAAACCCCTGCAGAACCCCAGGCACAGGAAGGGGGCTGTGCATGTTAGTAGATGTAACGATGTTTTTGATTGGTCACCACTGTTTTTATATCGAATGAAGCTATTGGTTGTTTTTTGTACAAATGGTGTAATATATTGTTATATATCTATCGGTTGGTGTATATGTCAGACATTTTTGCTTCTTAATACGAACGCAAACAAACGTTATGATTTTTTAACCCTTTGAACTTTGAGTGTAAATGAAATAAAACGTCATATACTCTGTAAGTAAAAATGTAGGACGTTAACTGTGTGTGATGCACTTAGTAATGGCTGATTTACTGGGTATATATTGCGTAATTCGTAATTCTGTGGCAGATTTACCAGCAGTCAGAGTTGAAAGGGTTAAAGGCAAATCCAAGCATTTATGGTCACATTTTTCTTGGTTTCGAGACAAATTTGGAAATTTGATTAATCAGTCAAAAATTATAGTCTACTATAGAAAAACGAATGTAGTCCTAAATCTCAAAAGATTGCAATTTTAACTTTCATTTCATTGGTCAATAACTAAATTAATTTTGAATTTGAATTTTTTGACCAATCACATAAAAGTATATTCCAAAATTAACTTAATTATATGATGTATATCTTGGAGATGAAAATAGTTCAACTTTGGCACTCTTCTAAGTTTTATCAATGTTTTTAAGGCTTTAATGTTCTTATTAGTGTTGCTAAAAGGCCAAAATTTAATATGTGTTAAAATTCGGCAAAAATTAGTTTGCAATTATGACGTGGTTGTCTTTGAAATTTTAGCAAATTGAGTAGAATAATTGCTTCATTGTATATGAATATAAGCAGCCAAGCAAAAATGTATTACAAGCAATTTGCAAATTTCATGGAGTATATTTGTGTGCTTTTTATTTGTTACTGACTAAATCAAAATGTTTTTAATTGTAATTGTGCGGAAACGTTGCTCTGGTGTTCTGTATATTATGTATCCTTTCAAAGACATATCTGACCAAGTAACTGGATCATTAGATCATGGGTTAGAGCTAGGAAACTCGCACTTCCCTGAAGAAACTGAAAGGAATTGATCAATGGTTTGGGAGTGAATAGTTTAATCAGTGGCAGAGCCAAAGGAGTGGTAGCTGCCCTCCCTCAAGGCCCCGAAAGCAAGATATTTTTTCGCTCCCCCTCGAATGTAAACCTGGCTCTGCCACTGAGTTGAATGTAGGGAGCTAATTGCATAGAATTATTGTTTTAGAGGTATTTTTTTTTAACCCTTCAGGACTCGAAATGGCTGAGCTTTTTGGAGTCTTTAGAATAGAAAACTGTGCTTACGACTTGTGAAAAATTATGTAGCGAACCCTTCTACCACAAAACCAACCATTTTATTTCAAAACCATGAGCTTAAGCCTATTTAAAAAAAACAATTATTTTCTGATTGGTCAATTTTTAGATTGAGTTTTATTAACCAATCAGATTACTGTATTTTATTGATTTGACTTGTGAAATTGTCGCCTAGCTTGGATAGAATTTTGTTTCAAAAACTGAAATAAAAGGCTGGATTTGAGGCTAAAATGCTGTTAAAATTCTTGTTTGCATTATATATTTGTAGAGTTTTGTGAATGCTTAACATTTTCTAATTTTCAAACTTATGTGTGCTTTTGTATTACGTGTGTCCATTCCGCCTTGTTATTTTCCAATTCAGTCATTTTTATTTTTGTTTGTCTGTTTTGATTTTCATTGTTAATTTGCCATCTAAATCCATCGAAAATATTCTGCTTTTCAAAAATAAGGATTGACACATGGTAACGTAAAATTATGATTTTTGAATTGCAGAATAAAATTCATCGTCAAATTTATAGCCTGTGTGTGGCATATCCATAGCCTGTGTGTGGCATATCCATGAATGCCTGTGTGGCTTATCCATGAATGCCTGTGTGGCTTATCTGCATGTGATGCATGTGACACATTGATAAATTTGAGATAGTAAAATTTGATTGGCTTCTTTACAAAATTGTAAAGATATTTTAACCAATGAAAAGTATTCACTCAAAGAAACATTGGTTTAAATATTTTTACGATCTTGTACAAATCCAATCAAATTCACTTTGACGTCCAATGCATCCATGGCTAAAGGTGCCTTCCCTTTATAGCGATCACCAGTTTTGTATTGTTGCGAATAAGAACTTTGGTCATAAGTTTCGAACGCAACTCTCATGCAACTGAGGTGTGTTTGGTACTCATGACCACTTTCATTATTGGAAACCATAACAACTGGTAATCACTATGGTGTGAGGGCCTCTTAAGAGACATATAATGAGCAGCAGATGTGGAATTTTGACGATGAATAAAATTTCTTCTGCCATGATTGTAAAAATTAGATTGTAGATATTTTATTATTTATAGATTTTATTTAATTTCAAGTTATATCTAACAACTGAATGTTAAATTCATTATTGGGGAGAAAAAGGTGACATTTCATGTGTGGCCCTAAACGAGCCAATATCCCATGCGAGAAACGGTAAGGGTCAGATTTGTCACGCTGATTTACAACATGTATCATTTGCACTATTTCATAAAACTTATAACATGAGGGAAGTTAGTATATTGGGTGTCATTTTCATATATAATATATATAGAGGCTAGTTTGAATGAGTAGGTGAACCTTGAAGCCTCTCTGCTTTTTGTGTTTTCAACCATATCCAACTTGAAGTTAGTATTTCAAGCAATTAGTTTGGGGTAAAAAACTGTTTAAGGGGTAGATCATTTGACAAAGTTAAAAGGGGAGATAACTTGCTAAATCTATTAGTATAAAGGGAAATAATTTCAAAATCTAGTATTTCAAGGGAGGTAATTTGCTGAGCCTAGTATATTTAGAGAGATAATTTGTTAATTCTTGATTTAAAAGGGAGATAACTTGCTATATCTAGTAGTAGACCTATAAGGGGAGATAATTTATAATCCTAGTAGTATGAGGGGAGACAATTTCTGAGTCTAGTATTTCATGGGAGATAACCTACTCATCCTGATATTCTAGGTTTTGTATTTAAGGTGTATATTTGCATTGTATATTTTCACAGATCTGTTTTTATACATTAAAAATATCTCAACTTATTTTTCGTTTTTTATTTTGCCTTGTTCTTATCCTTAGTTTTAGCAATTGTGTTCAGTTTTGCTTTTTGTGTTCACTTTTCATTTCTGTGCATGTGTCATTCAAAAAATAGTAGGCTGTCCTTGAAAAATGACCCTCATAACACACTGCATAGCATTATCATACTTTGTTGTGTCAATAGGCTGTAGAAAAGAAGGATGTAAAACTCCATTTCATTTCAATAGTCCAATAAGAAATAGAACAGTAGTCCATTTCATTCCTTTGTTGCAATTTGTAGGCTATATTTGTATTCAGTTTCCCTTAACCACATGAAAGATATTGAGCTCCGACCGAAAACACCCTCAATAGATCACGGACCACCAGAAGCTTCCTGCTCATGTTGACATGGCAACTAAGAGCAGGCGTGTTTGTAAATGTTAGATTATCCAGTGCTTTGAATACAAGACAATTGTAAGGAGAAAGATTGGATTGATCTGGATGGAACTCTTATCTGTGATCACCGCGATTTACTAGGATTTTTTTAAACTGATTTGCATGTGCATATTGCTGAAATCTTTGGGCTTTATTTAGACCACCAATCATGAAAAAGCTTGTTGCTAATGAATGTGCTATCAGACGAATTTTGTTGCTAACAAAGCTACAAACTTAAAAAAGGCCGCACAAAAATTTACCCAACTTTGCACATGCATAATAAGAAGTATGACCTACTTTTGTTTTCCGTGGGAATACCATTAAAGTATCATTTTGTGTGTTTGTTTGAAGGAATCCAATCTAAATTTGTCTACGCATAGCTGTGACAGAAGACGGGAGAAGTCTTGGTGTCAGGTACTAGTGGTAACAAGTCTTTAAAAATGCATGTGCTGACCTTGACCTACATGTTCATCCCTGGAGTATAATCTTAGTAATGTTGCGGTTGTGCTTTTTTACTTCGTACTTAATAATGTTTGAATGTTTCTATGAAACCAATATTTTATTGCAATATATGTACATTTATAAATTATGCTTAAGACATTTTGTGCAAATCCCAAATATGATGACCTTCGCTTTTAGTCGCTCGACATGTTTATAATACCTCTTATATGCTATTCTAAAATTCTTTGACATGTGTAGTCCGAAACATCTACCTCTATTTCAGCCTCTGATAGCTATTTAGACAGTTACTGGCGACACCAGCCGAAAACTATCAAAATAGCTCTCAGAGGCTGGAATAGAGGCAGATATTTCGGTCTTTAACATGTGATGTAACCACTTGAATTTATCTAGCCTCGCATATTTAAATATTTAACACCTCCAAGTCGTTTAACCCTTTGAACCCTGAGTGTAAATGAAATATAACGTCATATACCCTGAACTCCAAGCAATAAAAGTAAAAGCGTATGACGTTAACGTTGTATGACGTCACTTAGCAACGGCCGGTATACCGGCTTGTCGGGTATATATTGCGTTAGTGTTTGGCCGGTATACTGGCCGCTAGGGTTGAAAGGGTTAAAGCCCGACAAATCTCATTCCTCAGACGTGTTATGTGGATGTGATTTCGTCTTAACGTAATATCCCAGCCATTGATCACGTCTAAGGAACTGGTAGGGTCAGATTAGTCGGGCTAAGTCGCTGGATAGTCGACACGCTTAGTGATTTGTTACATTGTGTCGACTTTTGGTTTTATGTTCCTACCAAAAACTAAATATATGGCATGTTTAGATTTTATTATTATGCTTTTTGGACATCAAGTTTGGAAAACTGTATACAGATTTATATGATGCACAAGCCTAATATAGAGATAGCAATTTGCAACTTCTGGACATAGACGATTATTCAGGCATAATGCCATAGCAGTTGTCTTGTGGATAATGGAACCCGATAGAGACCCCCTACGAAACTACGTATGGTTGTTACATGAAAATATGTTTTTTTCTTTCATACGTAGTTTTGTATATAGAGACCCCTATAGTAATGATATTTAAGCCATACTTTTGCTTCTTCAACATTCCATTTTGCATTTTTTTCAACAATATTTTCAGTCAGGAAGGAGTGTGCATGATTTTGCCAGATATACTGGAGATTATAAGAGGTGCTCATTATACAAGTTTGCGCATTATATTCGGAAATATACGGTAGTTAATATGAGTGTTATTTGACTTACTTTACTGCTAAATTTGTGCATTATCCTACATCAAAGAGATTTTGGTAATAGTTTTATGTAGGCCCTACTCACTGCTCGCAAGTTTCCCTTAAGTGTCATTGCACACTGCATGGTGTTCATTAGCCTGATTAGGACAAGACTCGAGGAGGTAAAACTCCCTTTTACTAGGCTGGTAAGAGTCCAAATATTTCGGATTACCGTTAAGGATATTGTTTGCCTTTTTTAAGGCGAAGCGGCCAAGGCAAACTTTTTGGGGTGACAAATCCCAATAATTCAAGCCTATTGTTCTAATTTTGAAATGTTTTGCTTTAAAATGCTTCAATGTAAATTAAATAATATTATGACAATGTTACAGCTTTAAAATGGCTGCCATGTTGTCGGTAGTTCAATCTAGAATCTCAAATAAAATATTAACATATATTTCTGACTTTTTCTTTCTATTTCAAAAATGTTTCCACATCTATCAGGAACTAGAATGGATAGAACTCAATTTCAGCTCTCTGTATAGTCATCTTAATATTTACTTTACCAGCTGATAGAGCCCAATTTCAGCTATCTTTATAGTCATCTAAATATTTACTTTACCAGCTGATAGAACTCAATTTCAGCTATCTGTATAGTTATCTAAATATTTACTTTACCAGCTGATAGAGCTCAATTTCAGCTATCTGTATAGTCATCTTAATATTTACTTTACCAGCTGATAGAACTCAATTTCAGCTATCTGTATAGTTATCTAAATATTTACTTTACCAGCTGATAGAGCTCAATTTCAGCTATCTGTATAGTCATCTTAATATTTACTTTACCAGCTGATAGAGCTCAATTTCAGCTATCTGTATAGTCATCTAAATATTTACTATACCAACTGATAAGCTCAATTTCAGCTATCTGTATAGTCATCTTAATATTTACTCTACCAGCTGATAGAGCTCAATTTCAGCGTTAATAAAGTGAATATTTACACGACACGACAGCATTCCTTTAATAATGGCTTTATATAATAGGCCCCTACTAGGTACGTCGCCTGTAATGCAGAATTAGGCCCAGGGGCATCTGTGGCTGTGGCTCAAATTTGAAGTTTTAAAGATGGCGTAATAAGCATAAATATGACAATCCAGAGAGGGGCTTCTTGTTACCAATCAATTTCTATTTCTATTTCTGGTTATGAATTATTGCACAAAATGTGCAACCAATTTTACCCCACCCCACTCTTTCAGTAACAACCAAGGGCAGATAATTGGGTTCAAAGGTTGAGGTTCACGCGGGAAATAAAGGTCAAGGTCTTTTCACGCATGTCATCGCTAAAAATGGCGGACGATGAAGCGCAGTTCCAGCTTTTGCTGACCTCCCTTATGGGAGCTGATAACGACAGTAGGACCAAATCCGAGGTAAGTGGTAGCCCAATGTGTTTTCGACACATCCCCAAAATTTTGACGCCCGTCGATCACTTTTAAGTAAGTTATTCCAATTTCTGTAGTAGCCGATTCATCGATTTGTAAGGAGCGACAGAAAACGTGTTTTCGTTCACCGTGAATCAACAAACAAAACAAGCCATGCGGTTTAAGAAACAGTATGGCTGTCAAGATTTTCTCTAAGTCCTAATCAATTTAGTCCCTCTCCACAGTAATTAGAATATGTGAAAATTTCGGATCCGTACATTATTATAGATTACATGAATTCTATTTTACTTTTTGTTATTATTTCATAATGATAATAGCCGACATTCCTACGTACATGTACTAATAGATCTAGAATAATAACTTCTATAAGGACTAATGATAGTGACAATAGCCGTATAAACGTAGACCTATAGGCAGCACGAATGCATGTTTATGCCCATTAGTCATTACATTTTAAAGGTGCCCAATCTAAAAACACAAATACTTAAAATCTTAAATAATTTAATAAACGTTGAAATACATTAAAACAATGCTAATATATTCCTAGCCAGACAGAATATAGAAGGTGAGGGGCATAGCTTGTTTTTAAACAGGAATGGTTTGATTCAAAATTATTTTTAAAACTAGCCTATATTGAGGCTAAAAAGCAGGGTGCTGTCTTGGCAAAATTTCCCTCTTTGCACACTGTATGGCCGTAGGACAATGATTAAGACTGCCTGGTATTAATAGATCCTTTCACAGTTTAAGATAAAAGAGAATAGGCTAGTAGTAATGTTGCTTTCATTATAAAATTGCCCTTATTGCACACTGCATGGCATGGCTCCAGTACATTGATATATTTTGATATATTTGCAGGAAGTTTACAATGAAATACCAGACATCAAGAAACTAGAATTATTACTCAGCACCATTCGAAATGCCAACTCTTCTTTGGAGGTAAGATATGTTATTTTTTTCTTATTTAAGGTCACTTGCTTTGAGTTACATTACTTATAACTATTCAAACCCAATTAGGGGTCCAATCAGATGTCAAACGCCATTTCATATTATATAAAGAGTTATTTCCCTTTTCAGGTGCGTACAATGTCATGCGTACTACTACGAAGGTTATTCAGTAATGAATTTTCGGAAGTTTGGCCCAAGTTGACACCAGAGATTCAGAACAGCATAAAACAACAGCTGATAGTGGCCATTAACGAAGAAACTGGGCCTCCAGTGAGGAAAAAAATTTGTGATGTCGTAGCCGAGCTGGCTAGAAATTTGATTGGTAGGTTTGAAGATTGTTTATATGGAACAACTTATAATAATTGTGAATCTGTAGAATTAGTCGGACCTTGAACTCCATTTCATTTCATTGGCCAAAAAAGGTACAGAACAGTAGGATATAAACCTCTATTTCTTTTTTGAAGGTGATGATGGGACCATGGGGTGGCCTGAGATATTAAAGTTTATGTTTGATTGTGCCAGCTCCGAGGATGCTGGTTTGAGGGAGTCCGCGCTTAATATATTCAGGTAATATTACTTTTAATAAACTTATTAGGGCAGATAACTCTTGTGTTTTGATTAATCTTACTGGCCTCATTCAGTTGTTGATTCTTATGAAATGGTTTTTGTTTTCTTCTCTTAAAATAAACCGAGGCTGTGCCATTACACATTCTTTGACAATTGGAAATCGAAAAAGATTAGCCAAATTTTTGCGTCATTGCATACTGAACAGTGTTACCCATCTTCATTAGCCAAGGTGCCCAAACCTATTGATATGAAACAACTTGTTCGATTAAAAAAAAGTATAACTCTAAAAATGAATCTGTTCGAAAACATGACAAGATCCTGGACACTTATTCTCAAAACAATCTTAGCGCTAAGATGTCCTAGGTTCTTATCTTCTAACATTGATTCTAGAACATCCTAGCAATAAGATTGCTTTGAGAATACATGGCCAGGATCTTTCTGTCCTATTATCAACTCCTGAAGTTAGAACTATTTAATTTTTTTGCAGTTCTGTTCCGACCATATTTGGTAATCAGCAAGGTCATTATCTAGACGTTATAAAACAGATGTTGGCTCAAAGTTTACAAGATAGAGCTCATCCACAGGTACGTTGTGCTCCATCGTCAATAAAACCCCTGCCCCTTGTCAATGAATAGATGGGACTGTGATCACTTTATCAAAATAGCTTTGCTTGAGGCTGTGAATTTGACAAAGAAAAAAACCCTGTCCAAGGATATTATTTTTCATATGATATTTTGTTTGTCAATGTAGCATCTTTTTCGGATTTTGTCATCTTGGTGTGTTTTATGGCAGACTTTCAGAGAGTCCACATAGTTAATAATGTTTATTTGATATTAAGTATTGTCAACTCAGAATTTCATTATTCCTTTCAGAGAGTCCACATAGCTAATATGGTATATTTTCTTTTCTAGGTGTGTCAACTTGACATCTCTTTCAGAGAGTCCATATAGCTAATAGTGTTTATTTATTTCCAAATTTTCTAGGTGTGCTTTATGGCAGTGAAGTCACTAACAGCGTTTATAATTGCTAATGATAAAGATCAAACAATACTCAATAATTATAAAGACTTGGTACCAACTATGATGGAAGGAATCGTTGATAGCGTCACTGCCCAGGATGACGATGATTTGTTAAAATGTCTGATTGAATTAGCTGAAAATACTCCTAAATTTCTCCGTCCACAAATGGAAAATATAATTCCATTCTGCTTAAAGGTAGGATACCCTTGTTCTGAAATGCCAATTTGAAAAGGGGTTCAGTGAACTTTTTAAGTATATTTTTTTTGGAACATGACTTGGCAAACTTATTTTCATGTAAGTATGCTTATTGGTAGGTTAAATCAAATACAATTCTAAATGCTACCAATGTTTTTGAGTCAAATCCCTCACTGAATTAAATTCTTCCTCATCATTGTCATTTTTCAGTGATATGGATTCTCATTTTACGTTAAATTTTTTTCTGCTTGCACATGTTATAATAAGAGGTCGTTATTTCCATGTTGATCTTTTATTGTAGGTTTTATCTGATGCTAATTTAGGAGATCAGTGGAGACAACTCTCGTTAGAAGTTATCGTAACGTTGTCTGAAACAGCACCAGCTATGGTTCGAAAATTTGCGAAGTTTATTCCACTTCTTGGTAAGCTGAAAATAGAATATATAAATTTGCCTAAAATATCCTTAAAAATCCTTTCAGAGAGTAATAGAAAGTTCATAAAAGCAATTGAGAAAAAAAAAAAATCCCAATCAACTGAAATATTCGAGATAGAATCTGTGCTTTCACCAGAGACAAGGCTTCAAGAATATGCTCTCTACCCAATGACCTAACCCCAAAGTAACAATGTCTTGCTTTTCCAGTGCCTCAGATCTTAGCGTTGATGGTTGATCTAGAGGAAGAAGAAGACTGGGCTGTTCAAGATGATCAAGAAGATGATGAGACTGATACGTAAGTTATCTTCTCTTGTTTAGAGCGGAACAATTAGCCGAGTCTTTGTGTGCTACAGGCTGTGCACATTAAAGATCTCTCGATGGTTGGAAATCTGAGCTAGCATTTCTTGTTCGACATTTTTTTGGTGAGGGAATATACAGAGGCTACTCCAGCTACAGGCTGTACGCTGTAAAGATCCCTTTGGAAACAAAAGAGAGAGGCTAATGTGTCTATCCTGCACGATGCATGACTGACCAGCTGGTAGACATGATCCTCAAGTACCTCAGTTGTTGCTAGGGACCAGCTGGTAGTCAGGATCTTTCAGTTCTTTATGTATTTTTATAAAAAATGCTTGTGTTTTTTCTTTCCAGAAATGCTGCTGCAGCAGAAAGTTCATTGGACAGATTAGCTTGTGCCTTGGGTGGTAAAACTATGTTACCACATATTCTAGCCAATATTCCACAGATGTTGACCAGCAGTAAGTAGAAAAACTAATCAAACTTTGTATCAACACTAACTGGACATTCCAAAAGTGTCAAGTAAGACTCCTGCTAGCTAATTAGGAGCTATGGGTCTAAATGGGCAAGTAACGGCAAGTCGTTGTTTTGACAAATTACTCTTATTGGCACACTTCATGTGCCGACCTGCATTCGCCCAAGCACAATTGAAGAGTTTACAAAATTGTGACTCTTTAGTGCTCTTGGAGGATAAGCATGTGTCCTTATTCCTCACCTGATGTGTCAATGTTGGAATTGATTTTCAGGTGATTGGCGCTATCGTCATGCAGCTCTCATGGCAATCTCTGTCTGTGGTGAAGGATGCCATCAACACATGGAACAGATGCTACAGAATATCACTGAGGGTGTCCTGCCATTCTTTAGAGATCCTGTAAGTATATCGCCTAAAATAACCCATCAGACAAAGCCTCCATACTTTTCATGGGGAGCAGAAATGATGGAGTGAGTTATATGCTTGCTGGCTAGCCTGGAGGTCAAAGGTTCACTCCAGGCATAGGTCAAGATACCTTTGGATTTTTCAACAAGTTTCCCATTGTCACTGATGCAGGCAGGTCTAAGAGGTTGACATGGAAAAAAATTATTCAGATGCTACGATAAACCCCGTCCCATGTGCTATAAACTTTGAACTTTGAACATCCCTGTTGGAAATCGAAATAGTAGACTGATACATTATCCTAATAGGGTGCAGAAAAGTAGATGAAAAACTGTTTCATTTCATTTCTACTAGAATTTATTTTGACGTCTGTTTCCATTTCAGCATCCTAGAGTAAGGTACGCCACCTGTAACGCCATTGGTCAGATGTGTACTGATTTCGGCCCTATATTCCAGAAGAAATTCCACGATAAGGTATAAAAACTGTTTTTGAATTCTCACAGAAAAAGTATTTAAGAAATTTTTGTCTAAAATATAAAATCGAACTTTACTTTTTCACAATTAATCTATAATATTTCGAGTCATGGCATCAATTCTTTTGATTTTTTTTTTCAGATTGTTGGAGAGTTGATCCATATTATGGATGATGATGCCAACCCACGTGTTCAGGCTCACGGTGCTGCAGCTCTGGTCAACTTCAGTGAGGATTGTCCCAAGTTAATACTGGTCCAATACTTGGACGCCATTGTTGCTAAGCTGGAGCAAGTTTTGTCAAGGAAATTTAAAGAAGTATGCTTTCATTCAGTTGAATTTTTGGTACTTGGATGCTTTCGGTGTTAACATAGATCATGAAAATACCTTTGTGTTTGAAATACAAAGACTAACACAGCTTTTTTGGAAAAATTTCCCTCATTATACACTGCATTGCATTCATTTTTTTTATTGTAGTATATTGTAGAATATCTCCAATGTATTTGTATATTGTAGTTATTAGAGAAAGGAAACAAGCTGGTATTAGAACAAGTTGTGACAACTCTAGCCTCCGTAGCTGATACAGCCGAGGAGAAATTTATTAAATATTATGATCAGTAAGTCTCATTGGTTGTCAGTTTTTCAACCTGGTTTTCCTTCGTCAGTGATGCCGGTCAGAGGGGCTGACATGGGAAAAGTATCTAGGAGTTTGGATGGGCGAATAAACCGAGGTTCTGTGTGCTACAGGCTGTACATGTTGAAGATCCCTTGGAAGTTGAAATTAAAAAAAGAGTAGACAATGCTGTGGTCCTGGCAAAATGTCCCTCATTGCAAACCGCATAGTGTTGCCCATCTTCATTAGCCCGATAAGGTTAATGAAAACCTCTGCACTTATTTCATATAAGCTATTTTATTTTAGAGCCATGTTTGAAATCGAAAAGGAATCAAGCCCTAAAGCGCTTATTTTACATATTCTATTTTTTAGGTTTATGCCGTGTTTGAAATATATCGTACAACACGCTATTCAGCCAGAGTTACGGTTATTACGTGGTAAAACTATAGAATGTATTAGTTTGATTGGTCTAGCTGTCGGCAAGGATAAGGTACTTTAAAATTATTTTTTGATATATTTTGTTTAAAACGCGAACACGAGCTGTCTTGGTCGGAAATTTTGTCGCCGATTAGAGTCTTGTCTTGAGCTTCAACGACCGGTACGGGCACACGATAAAACAAAAATCCCCGACCAAGACAGCTTGTGTGCCCGCAAATTAACAGAATGGCATGCTGGGTAACAAAACTCTTACGTTGATGTGGCTATTGTAAAAGAAGGGCAATTCTGTCACTGTAAAAGGGTTTTGGTTCAAAACGTAATTTTTGAGTTGATGTTTTTTGTAGTTTGGTCAAGATTGTAACGATGTAATGCAGTTATTATTAAAAACACAAACAGAATCAGAAACACTAGCAGACGACGACCCACAGGTAACAGCCATTTTGTTTTTTCCATTAAAAATGACAAATCATCTTTGTTGAGATAATGCAGAAAATTTTCCATTTCGTTTCAATATCTGTGAGAGATTATGCAAGATTTTTTTGTTGTTTTGTAGATATCGTACATGATCTCAGCCTGGGCTAGGATGTGTAAAATATTGGGCAGTGATTTCCAGCAATATCTACCACTAGTCATGGGCCCTGTTTTAAAGGCTGCCTCCCTCAAACCTGAAGTTGCTGTACTTGATGGTAAGATCCCTTTAAATTCTCAGTACCTCAGCTCTTTAACCTGAAGGTCCACAGTTTGAGATAATACCTTTAGATTTTTGAACCCTAATTCCCCTTGTCACTGATGCAGGTCTGAAGAGCTGACAATAAACCGAGGCCCCGGGTGCTACAGGCTGTGCACGTTAAAAATCCTTTGACGGTTTGAAATTTAAAAAAGAAAACGCTGATCTCCGTATTCTGGCAAGTTTTCCCTCATTGCACAATGAGTAGTGTCACACCAAAAAGGTTCCAAGTAGAATGTTAAATTGTTAATGTTACTATTTTCTCACCAGGTGAAGATATGAAGGCAATGGAAAATGACAATGATTGGCAATTTGTTACCCTTGGCGACCAGGTATGTCATTGCACTAGTGGATGAGAAGTCACAATCTGCCATCATCCATTTTATAACAGTTGTTAGTACTTGGGAAATTCCGAGCATGTTAGTCAACTAATAAAATAACGGTACTGATTGGATCGTAAGTGGTTCTGATCATACATTATAGCCAGACAAAATTAACACATATTCTTATTGTTTTGTAGCAAAGTTTTGGAATTCGTACAGCTGGTTTAGAAGAGAAAGCGACCGCCTGTCAAATGTTGGTTTGTTATGCCAGAGAACTGAAGGAAGCCTTCGCTCCCTATACAGACCAAGTGGTACAGCTCATGGTGCCCTTACTCAAATTCTACTTTCAAGATGGTATCCTTTCATAGTTTATGAGAACTAGGATTGTAAAGAGGTTTTCTTAACTTTTATATGTATCAGGGACACTGTTACGTGAGTTTGCATCATTCCAATCAATGGCCGAGGTTTAGAAAACCTCTTGACAATCCCTTTAAAATTTAGGGGCTTATTTGACCTAGTTGAGTGCCACATTTGAAGCTGTTTCACACTGCACGGCATTATTTTAACCCTGTAAAAACTTCAGAATCTTTTTTCCCGTCTCCCATGGCACAAATAGTGCAATAATCCTTAACCCAATGATAAAGATGTGCGAATAGCCGCCTCGGAGAGTTTACCCTATCTTATTGACTGTGCTAAGATACGCGGAGAACAGTACGTAGTGGAGATGTGGAACTTCATCTTACCTAGTTTATTAAATGCCATAGAAATGGAACCAGAAAAAGAGGTTGTGCCAGAACATTTGAATTCTTTAGCAAAGGTAATTTTTTATTCTATTTTGTGAGCCAATATGGCAGAAAAAAACATGTTTTACGAGGATAGCAAGCCTACAAGTAGGTCCTTGCCACAAATGAAACAACTATAAGGATAACAACTTAGGTTCATGAGGATCCTTTCTACCAGCTGGTCCTTGGCCAAACCTCTTGGTAATGATATTACAAGGATAACGACTTAGCCAGCTGGTTCTTGGCCAAACCTCTTGGTAATGATATTACAAGGATAACGACTTAGCCAGCTGGTTCTTGGCCAAACCTCTTGGTAAGGATATTACAAGGATAAGAACTTTGTTTTATGTGTTTTATCCCATAATTATTGTCTTGTGTTATACCAAAGTTTTGTCATAATTTTTTGTTCCACTTTTTGTTGTGTATTTTCAGTCGATAGAGAAGTTAGGTAAGAATTGTATCATGGAAGAAAATTTAAACAAACTGATCGAAATTATTGATAAATTATTCGTCGACCATTTTCAACGTCAAGAGGAAAGACAAGGTGAGATGAGATTGTTATTATGTCGAATGTTCTGGAAGCAGAATATGTCACATTCCAAATTTTGCCATCTATTTCCTTGTCCGCCATTTTGAATTCTGTCCACGCCGGGTATTTTTCAGCGTTTTGAACTCTGTTCCAAATTGTTATATTGAATGGACGGTTGATTCCATAGATCCCGAACGTGTAGAACTCATCAATCAAGCAGCCCTGATGACACTGTTAACATTTCTGAAAGCTGCTAGTGGGTGTATGTTACCATGCCATGCAGGCTATTGTTTGATATTGTTGTTGTTTATTCTTGTTTTATATTTGTAGAGAAACGTAAAGATGAAGATTATGATGAAGATTTAGAAGAAACATTATTAGATGAGGTAGGTCATGATAAAGATGATATTTACACTTGCACTGTATTTGTCTAAATGAACGCTTTAAAGTGATTGTAAAAGGGTTTATCGGGAACACTGATAGCATCAGTTTGAACCATTCTAATTTTCAATCAGACGTCTAAAATTCCTGCAATTCCACTCAAACTAAGCGTTTCGTAACTCACTTATCACAAAGTCTTTATGAGATAAGCAAATTTAGCAATAAGTGTCGTCATCAAATATTTGTTTTAGTGGAATTGCAGGAACAACAGATTTCTGATTGGAATGGTACAAATTGATACTATCAGTGTCCCCGATGCACATGAAAAATTTTGAAAAACCTATTCACAATCCCTTTAACAAGAAACGCATTCAAATTCTCGTTAACTTCATCATAACCACAGGGTTCCATCGTTCATTGTTTCATGGTTATTATATGAGACAGCAATTTTTTTTTATATTTAATTAGGACGATACAGATGTTTATGTATTAAGTAAGGTCTCTGATATTATACATTCATTCTTTGGAACGCACAAGGAAGAATTTTTACCAGTCTTTGAGAAAATGATGCCCAACTTTGTAAAATTATTAGTAAGTAGAAATTACTTTTAACTCTCTTGGGAGCTGTTTTGGCTCAAGTTCCACAAGGTTCCCCCTGTCACGGCCTGTCAGTCATTCGGATGAGACAATAAACTGATGCACTCTCTCTTAACTAAATATATTTTATTTATATTGGTATCATTAGTTAAAACTCTTGCTCTGCCATTACAAATTTCATTTTGGAGTAGAACCACTAAAAATTAGGTTGAGGTGATGAAAAGATTCTATATATATTGGATATGACTTCCAAACATCTTGAAATAATAAAATCTCACCCTGTACCTTCACAGGCCAACTGTGGCCAACTTGGCTCTTGGCTAATATTTCCATTTTCTCTATTGTTTTCGTTCCATACTAAGAACCCTGTTTAACTGTTTCTAATATGTTTTTAGAATCAAGAACGACCCTGGCCTGATAGACAATGGGCTCTATGTATTTGGGATGATGTGATAGAACACACTGGACCTGTAAGTCCTATTGGTTTTTTTTTTTTTTTTTTTCGCACTCGCTATTTGCGCCATTACAAAGCTTATTGTCTTTCATATTTTCCGTATGGTAGTTAGCAGCCAATGGGAGAGCTTTATTCGTTTGTGCATGGGCAATGGATTGTTTCCTTGACTCTGCGCTATTTTTTTTTTACAAAGCGTGAAGACGTTTTGATTGTCAAGTATGTTTTTAAGTGACTTTTTAGGGTTAGGTAGAGATCGTCATATCGTCATGGTGTTTTCCTTGAAAGGAAATGTTGGTTTCTTTCATTTATTCCCATAATGCAATATGATACAGTTCATTTGGACAAAAAATTGAATAAGAAAAAAATCAGAGAAAAATTCATTTCCTTTGAATATTGATCTCAGGACAAATCCACACAATTTTTTTGCTTTTCGTTTTTGCATTATGAAGTCACGGTCTACAAATAACACGTGAGGACAAATTAACAAAGTTTCATGCCCTTAGTAAAGAGAATCCAAATTGTTTATACGTTGTTTGATTTGTTTTTCCAGCATTCTGCAAAATACCAGGAATATTTTTTACGAAGTATGATTGCATATCTCTGTGATAAAACGCCAGAAGTACGACAGGCTTCAGCCTATGGAATTGGCGTCAT